GTAAGCTCGTGGAGGAGAGATGTTTAGAAGAAGAGGAGTCTGTATGATAGTCTTGCTTTTTTTGTACAATCTTGCTTCATATTTGAATGTAGGAAATGCTAATCATTAGAAGAGGGCAAATTGAGTTATGAGAGTTGTAGCAATCCCTCTTAGTCATGTATGTGTGTGTATGACTGCTTATTAACCATTATCATAATATCACCCTTCTTATAGTCTCTAGCCTGGAGGATTTATATCATGCTCAGTTTGTTGCAAATATGTTGGACTCATAATCTCCTAAGGGGCTTGGTTAATAGATCATAAAAAGATGGTCCAAAACTAAATATGATAACTGATTAACATCACTCACTTGATAACCGAGAACTGGTGGAAAAGGCTATCGAATAATTTAATGTACCTACTAATCTCTTGTAGAATGAGAATTCATAAAGTAAAATGAAACCACAGTATGATTGAGATAAGTGTGGACAACAGAACAGATGGATAATAGGACGAGAAACATGCACTTCATTATTTTTCTAGTATCAGATACATAATACCTTTTGTTTGGCCCTTGGTGAAATTTTGCTTCAATTGCCTTTATGCCCATTAGCTGGTGTACGTATTCTCACACTCCGCCCATGTGGACTATGCTCAACAAGGACAAGGTAAACTTAAACCAATGTTAAATAATACCTTAGGAAGGTACTAGAAAACTGTAGAAACATGAGTTGAGCATAGAGGTAAAGACGATCTAGTAATAGATTTAACACTTTGTATTGTGGCTTCTTTCTCTTTTCATATTAACGGATTTGTTGTTTCTCTTTTTGCCATTCATCAGCCGGTACCTTTATGCCTATTACATCCTTATTAGCAGTAGAGCGCGCCACTAACAGTATGCTGTAACCTTCAATGCAGGAGCATTTGGCACATGATGATTCATCATTTGTCTTTCGTTTGAAGGTTTGCCTTGCATCCTTCCGTTCATTATCTAGAATTCCCATGTGAAATTATTGAGGCTGGATGCCTTATATTTTGCTGCTCCTTCTGATAGTTAAAAGTGTTCTAGATTCACATTGGAAAGTATATTCCAACAGGTGTCTATTATTGGCATCATGTTAGAGGAAATTTTCTTCATTGGCAAATACTGTTTTCTTGCAACTTTTAAGTTACAGTCATTTACTGCTATTTAAAACAACCTTAAAGTTTGATTTTATTTAAGCATTTGTGGGCTGCAGACCTGCTTTTTGGGACATCCTATTCACTCTGTTAATCAATCATCTGTTTGTTAAGGAAGATAGCCCTTTATTTATCATTAAGGTCAGAGTCAATATTTACACTTACTTTTCATCTTTGATCTTCCTGCTGTTACCGTTTGTATAATATACTCTCAAAGTCTCATCTACTTTGACATTGTTGAAAAGATCTCCATCCATAAGCTTTAACTGCTGAAAAGATCTCCATCCATAAGCTTTAACTGCCTTGCCTTGACATTATTGCTTTCCTTGATCTTCTGCTTTTAAAATTGTTTGAGATCTCGACTCTTTCTGGAATACTCATGCGCATTTGAAACTGAAGATGGAAATCAGAATAGTTTTACTCACATTATTTTTTTCTTCTGATTTTTTTCTTAAGGTGATGCAAAGCTACATGTTTGGCCTGATAAGTTATTTTGTGTCCTTATAATGATTTAGGTCCAATTTTCACCTCCACTATTTTAAACACCAGGTGGGATGCATGTGATCAAGTACTTGGGTTCTTTATTTTGGGTCTGTGTGTTGTACTGGACAAATGCCTATAATGAGGATTTACACTGAAGTTATTCTATGGATCAATTTGTTGGACCAAACTTAGTACATTATATATGTGGACTCCAAGAATGTATCCCATACCAACACCTAAGATAAACTTTGGGATATTACAGTGCGAATAAGCATAAAACATTAAAAAATTAATTTTTACAGAATAGCAATAAAAATTATCTTTTAAAAAAAATAATTCTAAGAAATTAACTTCGAGAACCAAACATACCCCATCCAAACAAATATAAAAAAGATAAATAATTACAATGCTAAAGTCTAGCAAAACCAAACAAAGTGGAAGCGAATCAGGAACAAATCTTTTATACATTAGTGTAATTCAAAAGAGAAAAATGAGACTCTGGGAGGAAGAGAGATTCACCAGTTCTTTGATCATTGATCTCTGGCTTGCTGCATATTCATGTATGAAGACATGCTTGTGCCGTGTACAAGGCTTAAGCAAACTAGTTACATAAGAATTCAAGAATAAAAACTCCTAGTAATCAAGACTATAGATAACTCCTAAAAAATAAACTCTCAAAGATGTATGATTCAGAAGTAAAAGCAATTTAATCAAATTTATAAACTTTAAAGATAAAAATGAAAAAGTTTGGAGGGCTTTGATGGAATTCTTTATCCCTTTTTATTGGTGATTGTGGACTCACATCAGCGAGGATGGTAGATTAATTGTATGTTATAACCTAATTGAGTTGATATTAATCAATCCTATTTATGATATTATATAACCTCATCCATGTATATATGGAAGAATGAAACTCCTCCAGGCTCCAGTCCACGATCTTACAGGGCCCACCAAACTCATGTGTGCGATTTTGCATAGAAAACCCCCAACCTTTTATATTTGCAAGCAAGCCCCTATGACCTATGTATTCCTATAAATAAATAAATAAATCCCTGACCTACCATATGATGTCTGTTTATGTGCATACATGAAAATCAAGTCCTATGCTCAGAAGTCTTGCCTCTTACTCGCACTTCATTTGAAGAATTGCACTAAACCCTTTTCCTTTCCTCTATTGCACATAAACCCCTTCAACGTTAAACACCTATCTTTATAAACCCAAGCCATAACTCATTATCTCCCTGCCATGTGTTGCCTTCGCGATGACGGAACAGTTATAGGAACTAAGATTGTTAATTGTTTTATCATAGTTTGTTTTATAATATTCGAATAACAATGTCTGGTGATCGGATAATTAATTTCAAATTTGAAAAATGTTTAGGAGTAATCAAAGTGGATTGATGACTGGATTAAACATACGATAGGATAACAATGTTATTCCAAATGGGTCAAGGGTAACATTGACCATGGATAGAATTACCCAAACTCACACTTGTAAAGAGAGTATATGATGCTGTTTGATCTGATTTGATCATTGACATCTTGCATTGAGGCTGGCTATTTGATTTCATTTTAGCTTTTTGATTCCATATTCTAGTTTATTGGTTCTTAGGGAACATTTACTAGCACATGTCCTGATTCATTAGCATCCAGATTCAGTTCCTAGTTAGCTTCATGAATACCCCTGAATCGCTAATTATTGAACAGAAATAGTTTGTGAATAATTCTGATTTAAGGTGTCAAATGAAAGAATGCCAGCTCGCTCTTGAATCTCAGCTCAGTACAAAGTCGGAGAATCTAGTATGTCTTTCTCTAAATTAATCCCAAATTTCTTCTGCTTGCATATATCTTTACACTTTACAATTTACATGACTGTACCTTATATGTTTATTTGATAAGAAATAAGTTAGGATGCCATTGCCGTTCATGATATATGATTGACTATTGCTCATACTGTTCAGGTAGCAGACAGTACAACTCTGTATGGTGTTTGCCTACATGTTCAGGAGATAGTTCAGAGAGCACCTGGTATTTTAGGTGCCATTTCGCCCCTTAATCCTTCTTGCAAGTCAGGCCGCTTCTTGGTTTCTGCACCACGTTGTTATTGCATGCTTACGAAAGTGCCATTTTTTGAGCTACACTTCGAGATGTTAAATAGGTCTGCCTTGTTAGCAAGTTGCATTTATCCTTATCTAGGTTTAACTCAAGAATATGAAGTTTATAAGCGTCTGATGCTTGTCGTGTATGTGTGATTTTCATCTATGCTTCCTATTCACAGCATAACTGCACAGGAGCGACTGGATAGGATAACACAATTTGTCAGTGAAATGGCTCTAACAGAGTCAATTCCTTTCGTGGGCACAGAGCAAGATCAACTTGATGAGAACTTTGAGTCTCCAAACGGACAATTCTGTAATAGTTGGATGGGATATGCAATACCAGCTGGTAGTATACTGGGTCTTACTTCACCTTCAATTGGCCTTCCTTCCGACAGAGAAGTTCCGCCATTTTTGTTCAGGCAATTGGAACCTCACTCACCTGAAAGTGCTGCTAGTGAATGTTCAGATTTCAGTCATGTACGGGAGCTGGACAGGGAATCCAGAAAGTCTTGGGGTCACTTCGATGATCATTCATCTGTAACCTCTGGCTCTCGCTCTGATAGTTTTGACAGAACTAATGGAAGCCTCGACACTGGTCAAACATCACCAGAGAATAGCACAACTTATAGTTGTGTAAACTGTGGATTGCTGCATGTAGAAAGTATAGTCTCTGTGTACAGGTATCACGAAATCCCTTTTTCTGTTTCAACCAATTATGTTAGTTTGATTCTCCCTTTCAAATTTATTTAAAAAATAATTTCTTTATATTCTGTTTTCGCTCTTGTTTTTTGTATGCCTTGATGTCCAAGTATTTGAAATATCGACTTAAATATGATGCTTAGTTTCTTCCGACAGTTCAGTTAGAGGCACAGGATCAGAGGAGGAAGATGATGATTTGTGTTACAAACACGATATTGCTGGTGATGAAAAAGTGATGGAATGGGCTAAGGTATTCTCGGTTTTGTCTAGTGGCTTTAGCTTCTACTGCTTTTAGATGCGCCTCTTCTAATTTTCATTATTGATGTTATCTTAATAGTTACACAATAACGAACCGTTGCAAATTGTTTGCGGATATCACACTCTTCCTGTGCCGCCTCGGGGACGTGAAATCATTTTTCACCCTCTGGAGCATTTACAGCCAATCAAGTATTTTAGACCTAATATAACTTCTTTGGGCTTGGACAATGTTTCTCAGATTGATATATCTTTTCCTACAGAAGTTAATGAGGTAAGATATAAGGTGATCCCCTATTAATAGCATCCTTCAATTTTCTAACATTCAACTAGTAAAGCATTTCTGAGGGGAAAAATCTCCGACAAGGTTAATGCACGATTAGCAGCTGCAGAAGAAGGTCTTGCATTATCAATATGGACGGTGGCTACGGTTTGCCGTGTTCTATCTCTAGAAAGTGTAATATCCTCTAACCAATGGACTAGGGCAGTTTCCTTAATTTTTTCCACTAGTAAATACTACTTGAAACATGGTTAGCGTTCACTTTGCAAAATGAAAATAATTTACTTTTCTAGTAATCTAATTGTTAATTATGGGGTTCTCATTATTAATACAATGTAGAGGAAGCTAATGTTACTTGTCTTTCAGGTTTTGACACTAATTGCGGGAGCATTATTGGAAAAACAAGTGGTAGTCATATGCCCAAATTTGGTACGTGTACTACCGCTAGAGACTATATTTGGAATCATGCAGCTATGTTCTTCCTTTTCAAGTCATATTTGTTTCTAACCTAGTACTATTGTCCATAGGGTGTTTTATCTGCAATTGTCCTATCGGTTATACCCATCATTCGTCCATTCGAGTGGCAGAGTTTGTTCCTTCCAGTGAGTCTCCTAATTTGTAGAGAATGTTTCTAATTGGAATCTGGCACCTTTCTTTGTCTTTTTGTGTGAATGCACAACATCATTGTTTTTCTGCAATTAAGCATGATATTTTATTTTGTTTTCGGAATCACCAGATGTAATATTTCTCTCATTTCCAGTATTAATCATGTACCTAGCGTATGTCTCTGTGTCACTGGCATGATATGAAATGTTTTTTTAATTATGATTTTTTTCCCATGAACTAGCACATGCCGTGATTTCTCCTTGCAAGTACATAACTGACATTCTGATAATTGTCAACCATACATTTTCCCCCATATGTTATGGTTTGTTGCTCTATAGGGGTAAGTGCATGTTTTCCCTCTCCTTTTTCCTATGTGATTTACCTGATTTTATTTTAAGGATTATATTCCTTCCATTGGTTCATTTCCCATTTTTCTCATCTCATGAATGCTGCAGAAATGTATGGACTTTTTTTTTTATCTTTCTGAAAAATGATACTAACTGGCATAGTAATATGAATGCCTTTTAAATTGCAACATATTGTTAGGATGCACTGTTTTAAAAAACCTCCGCCTAGTCCGCTTAGGCGTACGCCTAGGCCTAGGCGGTACCTAGACCGCCTAACTAGCGCCTAGCGCTTAGGCGGTATTTAGGCTGCCCACCTAGATATTACGAACGTTTAGGTGAGCATTGTCTGCTTATGTGGATTGCACCCTGTAGGCCTTGATTGTGATTTTATGTATCGTAGCATACACGTCCTCCAAACTTCATTAACCTCCAAATATGAACACCTCCACTACCTCCTCCGACCTTCAGCAAAACCTCATCGACCACCACTTAAATGAAAAAAGAAAAAAAACGCCCAGAAACCGCTTAGGCGCCCGCCTAGGCGACTAAGCGTTGGGCGCCAAGTCCGACGCCTAGAAGCGCCCAGCGTTTAATGTAACCGCCTAGGCGACTAAGCGTTGGGCGCCAAGTCCGACGCCTAGAAGCGCCCAGCGTTTAATGTAACATTGTTAGGATGTTCGTTCAGGTTATACAGTTTTCTTTTGTACCTTTTTAGAGTGGTGGCAAACAAACTCCTTAAAAATGCATGTTGCTAGATAAGCATGGCATAAAGTCCAGAGTGACTATTTACATTAATTAAAATATTGTACTATTCATGTGCTTCAAGCATTAAAAGGAGATTCAAGAGATCAATGTTTACCCCTTAACAAACTTTGCTCGATGTCCAATTTATGACATTTTATTAAATAATTTAGTTCTTCAAGGTAGTAGGTACATGATCATAATATACTGGAATCTCTATTTTCATGTTGTTAAAGTACTAATCATGGGAAGCAAACTGGGTAAATTATAGATGGCTTTTCTTTTTGAGTGTTTCCTTGGGCCCTTATATGTTTGTTTAAAGTTCTTTTAGACTTGTAAAAGAAAGCTACTTTAACCTATATTTGTTAATACCTGATATGTTGCTAGTTGCTACTATATTGAAAGGCATGATTTGCAATAATCAGTTGCCTGTGTCTTCAAGAAACAATGAGAGGATAGGTAGTTAAGTGTGTTAGATAATATTGATATTTAAATCTAATAGATATTATGAGATCTTGTGAGATGTGAGCAGATATGATTTTATCTCATACCTGTTTTGTAATATTGTCCTAATCTATGTAAGAGAGGTTATGGTTAGATGGAATAATAACTTTGCCTTCTTTGTTTTTCTTTGTTTCTCTACAAAGTGAACATTGAGTAGTGGTATATAGAACTTCTTGTTGATTATTGTTTGAGGGAGAAAGGTGACAGCTTTGATTTTATTGAGTTTTAGCAAGAAAAAAACATAATATTGGAGGCTTGACACAGCACGTTTTTTTTTAATTGTGATTGAAGAGGCTTCGATATCTTAAATTTTAAGCATATCCTTTTATTCTTTTTTCAATACTTGCATTTTGTTTCCTTCCTGAATTTAGTTTAAATTCTCGTTTGATTAAAATCTGTCAATAGCTCATCCATCCATTAGAATGGGTTACACCACCTTAAGATATATTTTAATTCTTTCAGGTTCTACCAAGAAGATTGTTTGACTTTCTTGATGCTCCAGTACCATTCATTGTAAGTCTAAGACTATTGTCTTCTTCTTTTGTTAAAATTTGGATAATTCTCTTTGCAATGTGAACTGTGTTTATAATATTATTTTTTAAAATATCTTCTGCCTTAGGTCCTTTTTTTTGTTTTTGTTTTGTTTTGTCTTGTTGTGTTTTTTTTTTCGAGTTTATCCAGCTAGTCTTTGTTGTTTGATCAACTTGCAAGCTCACTCGTAGGTTGAGCTTTGTTTGTGGTAGTTGAAGTGTTTTTTCCCATCCTTTTGCATCTTTCATGGCTTTCATGTCGTAACACAAGCTTTACTGAAATTCATAGTAGTCTGAGGTAACCAAGGGAAAAGATTTTTGCTCATAAAGAAAGTTATGATCTTTTTGGCTTTTAATGGTATTGATGTCAGTTTTGTTTTCTGTTTCTTTTTTGGTTTTCCAAACTTGAGCTTTTTAAGTTAATTTCTCCACTTCATCAATATTTCATGTTTCTCCTTCTATTATTGGATCTGGATGTTGCTTAAACATTTAAGGAAATATTTCATGCTGATGCTAAGCAGTTTAAATTATCTTTTTACTAATTACTATTTAATGGCATTGATAACAGTTCATTGAATTTACAGGTAGGAATTCAGAATAAGCCAACCGAAATGAAGAAAACACCCAATCTTATTCAAGTTAACGTATACAAAGACCAGGTTACTTTGATGCGTATGAATACCCTGTCATATATCACGTTTTGTAGTTCTGATATTTTTTGGGTTTCTCCGTTCTGTCTCTTGATTGTATTTTATGCTGCTTAGAAACGTTTTCAAACTAAAACTTTGTGTGCAATTATTGCATCCATGGTGTGCATCAATGGACAGTCTGATAGTCATGAAGATGTGACATTTTACTTTAAAATTCATTGAAGTTATGGACATACTGTACTTGTTCATAAAAGAGCTCATATTGTTCTATAGAATTCTGATGATTTTTCAAGCAAAGGTCATAGCCCAGTCATGAACTTGTGCACCAATAAGCCAACCTTCTGCTTTACCACTAAGCCCGGTCTCAGTGGCACCTTCGTATAGCTTGGATATCAAATTATAGTTTGGTTACAAAAAATCTTATCTAGTGCATGTTTCATTAGATTTTACTTCTAATCTACCTTATCATGTTAATTGCTCACTGTGGCCACATATCTGTCTACTGTGATTGATTGGGATGCTAGGTTTTCAAATTAATAATGTTTTGTAAGAATTTAGAGAAATGTAAATGATACCATGGTTTATGGAAAATAGATCCGGAAAGATGAGAAATAAGTACATGTAGTGTGCAAAATATTCTATGGGATATGCGATAGGTATGAAAATATAGTTTATCATAGCATGAGTACATGTAACTAGAACTGAGGGATGCACAAGCCAAGGTGTTAGGAAATTTGTAGGAAATTTTAAGATGGTGACGGCCTGACCTAAAAGTATGGATGGTTGTTGCGAGAAAAGGAAAACAATTCTGTTGTTGGATAAAGCTCATGAAACGTGTTTTACATCTATGCTTTTGAGCTTGTGAACATATTAAAATGTTGGTCCATATGATCAGATCATGCTCATAAGCGTGACTTTCCATTAACATTTCCATCAATAACTTTGAAGACGGAGAGCAAGGTGAATGTATCAAATTCTAGACAATAATTTTCATGTTACATTGCTATGGCTTATAGTAGTGCATTGGGAATTGTGATGAAGTAATTATTGCCAAAACTAATGCGAACTTTTACCTAAACAACATATCTACTGCCGTCTGCTAGATGAACTCAGTATTACGGAAAACAGATACTCCAGTGACTCAGTTAGATAATCGTAACATGATATATCATATGTTTGCTCTCTTGAATTTTTTTAATCTTGCAGGTGAAAGCTTGTCCATTGCCTCAACTTCCTCGACATAAGGAACTTGTCTCTCAATTAGGTCCTATTCATGCCAGACTTTCATGTGAAAATTTTATAGCTAAACGGCATCCTATTTACAAATGCAGTGAAATTCAGGTGACAAAATTCTTTCATGTGTCCATTGTTTATCACTGATGCATTGGTCACCCAGTGGAGTTCAGCTTTTTTTTTCTATTTCTTTTTTTCAATGTCTTACCTGTGAAAAGAAATGTATTTTGGACGTGCCCTAAGATGAATCTAGTATTTCTTTTTCGAATCTACCTCTTAACACATGTTAAAAAGACATTTATTGTGGAATTGATTTCTAGTTATTGAGCCAATGCATTTCAACTTTTGGCTCGTGGCCATGAAAATGGCAAAAAATTTCAGAATATCATGATATCAACTAAGAGAACAATAAATGTTTATTGAAGTTGTAACTGATTTGGCTCGTTTGTTTTTTTAGTATGAAGTTTTCAACTGATAGGGATGAAACACTTTTTTATTCTTTTATTTTCTTCTTTTTTTTTGGGAGAAGTTTAAAGCTGATGTATTCTATCTGCTGCAGAGAACTTACAAACCAGCTTCACTGTATCAAATTGTTCATTGTAATTGTTCCTTTAGGGAAGTTTCTTGTCCATCTAGGCATCCATTATATCAACCCGTTAAGACTATTTGTTCACCAGCATCTGCGCATTATGATTATATACATGCCATTTAAGCACACATTTAGGTTGACAACACAAGGAATCACATCTTGGTGGCTCTCCTTCGTGCTGCCAAATGTAATAGACGGCATCTGTGCTTCTTAGACTCATAATTAGATGTCTAGTGGCCTTCCATAGTTGGATTCGTGTTTGTGTCTGTATGTGGGTGGGGCTGGCTCTGTGTGTGTGTGTGTGTCTGTGTGTGTGTGTGTGACAGCCGTATGAGTTGTATTGGAACTTGGAAGTCTATCTGGTCCTTAATTATGCTTTTTACACTTAAACTATATTTTCTAATCTTAGGAATTATGTTTTAGACCATATTTGTGCACTTTCTTCCATGATATTTTTCTTCATCTTCTATTGACAATTATATTGCACCAATCAGTCTTCTGCAACATTTCCATATATCTTCCTTCTACTTATATTCCATGCAATCTAGTATGCGATGATTGTGCTATATCATAACTGATTATATATGTGTATTTTCCCTTTGATGAAAATTGGGTTCCATTTCCTTAAGTGTAGCACTCTTGTAGAAATCATGAAACTTTTTATCCTGATCCTTTTAGTGAAACGTGGGTATTAATCTATCTTATAGTGGTCAATTGCAGGCAGAAGCAGCTGGAGATTTTTTGAATGTCATGAAACACTACTTGGAATCACTTTGTTCAAACTTGCGATCTCATACCATCACTAATGTGCAATCAAACAATGACAAGGTTAGCAGAAACTAGTCATAAGTAGCTTTCATTTTACCCTCAGTAAGACATTTCCTGGTGCAGATAGGTTCTGATCGAGTCAAGCATCCTGACCGTAACCCAAGCCTTATCCTAGACTAGATTGGTTTGATTAGGGTCAATCTGGTTGAAGCTAATCAAAGTTGTATATATCTATGTAGCACGGACACGGATCCGACACGGCCATCCGACACGCCGACACGAGGCAAATCCTAAAAAATACATAGGATACGTGTGTTCGACACGTGTGTCCGACACGGACACGACACGGCTTCATGTTATGTGTGTCCGTGCTTCATAGGTCCAAAGAAGTAACATCTAATATGTTTATTTAGTACACAGTTATAAATCATGTATCTAAGTCACGTACTGTTGGGTTCAGGTCAAAATTGAGTTAGGTTACCTAACTTCAATTATAGTTGGTATTCCAACGCAGACCCAATCAAAAATTTGAAATCCTCAACCCAGCCTGGACAGTTTATGGAATTGGGTTTGAGTGAGCTAGTTCAACGGAATTCAACTGGAGGCAATATTATCGTAATAGTACTTTTATCAGATAATAAAAACAAAGATTTAATGACTTATGCAATTATTCACTCGCTTGTTCAGGTCTCACTTCTTCTAAAAGACAGTTTTGTTGGCTCATTTCCTGTCAGCGATCGACCATTCATCAAGGTTGGTTATTTTTGTCCCTTGTTTGATCGTCTCGTTTTTGCATTTTAACTATAATGATGATTCCTTGTTTAACTGCATGACTAGTAAGATAACCCTTTGTACATACCAACAGCACTTCTAGAATGTTGGTAACCTTTTCTCTTTGTTATTAGTTTGAAGGGTTGGCAACTTAGTTTGCATTACAAGATCTATTTTTCATCAAAATTTTGCTAACAATGTATCTTACTATATACCCACAATCATTGCTGCAGCTTCTCGTGGAGACACAACAATTCTCAGTCTTGTCGGACTCCCAGCTTTCGACCTATGAGAATGAGCCATTTTAGCTCGGTGAACACATGCAAGTGAAGGACATGATACATGGCTCTCTTGAGAGCCACAAGTCTTTTCGCATATGAACTAAAGAGCCGAGACCATCAATGCCCAGCACTGAACAGCCTTCTTTTGGTAAAAGAGAAGAATGCTTGACGGAACACTAAAATACGAATCCATTGTTATAACACGGGCAGGTGTCAAAATGGACGCCCAACTTCTTGGGCAAATTGAAGTGTGCAGTGCATCCCAGTTTTTTGAATGGGATGTTGCTAACTGGAAAGGTTATGCATCCCCATACCTAATTGTTGTATATCTGTAAGCAATAAGCACAGCTGGGGTTTTGTGTTCCGAGCTGTTTGTTTCTCTTTCTTTCCTCCCTTATTGGATATACAAAATAAATCGAGTTTCATATGAGAGAGCAGTTCGTAAGGTTCGACGGTTTGAGATTGTTCTTGATGTACCTTATGAATGTATTGTGTGCCGCATGAATGTACATTTGGTCTGAAGAGCCTAGCGTAGTTCTCTTTCAAGATAAAATTATCTGCAGCTGTAAGCCAAACCGTCGAAAACTTCCTGAGAGCCTTTATCCAAACAAATTCAGGGTAACAAGTTTTTGACAAATACAGGAAGTACAAACACAAGAATACTCAGCCAGCTAATATAAGCATCCAGTATACAGTTGCTCCAATATCTGACTCCAAAATTAAATAACCTGCCAGGACCCCATTTCTGAATAAATACCAGCCAGGACCCCATTTCTGAATAAATACCAGCCTTCCTCATACATTTAGGTTAGTACGAAAAATTGTTGATAGCGATCGGTTGGGTTAGGTAGGATATCTTTTCCTTCAATAAAATCACATCTCCGATGATAAACAAGCATCCATACATGTGATTATCCAACAACGTATAAGTTAAATTAAATTAAAAAACTTCTTCATAATTTTAAACATCTTGTCAAATACATATAATATCATTCTAGTTCTTGCCAGACCCTGATAATGATTATACTAAGATCAGAACAATGCTATTTGAAAGTAATAAAATTGTAACTACTGCTTTGAGCTTGCTGGCTCGAATGCAATCCTTGTTAACACAAACATTACATGGGATACTGAAATCACCCTGCTGAATCATTTACAAAGGCGTCGACGAGGGTGTCTCCGACTTATTAGATGAAGAGCAAAACTGAGGAAGATATCAGGAGGGATACTTCACGTTTAGTGAAGTTGTGACTCGATCGTTTGTAGTTTCATTGTCCATCCGGATTGGATTTCTAGTCTCTTTCCATCGTTCACCCTCGTGTATCTCATCCCAGTAAACAACAGTTTCTTTAGTATCAACAAATCTCGAAATCCAGATACTTCCCTTGTACATAATTTTGATGTTCTACTTGCCGTCGTCGTAGCTTCATTGATGCGAGACATATACTCATTAATTTCACCCAGGGGCAATATCCGCCAAGATTTCACCAACGGGTCAAACGAATTAAACCCGCAGGTCTATCTGCGACAACGAAACTTACACGGGTAGCGAGTGCAAAACAGAAATACTAAGGGGGTCCATGCGCAATTAACCCTTTAAAAAAAAAACTACCGTTTTGATGCAGCCTTTAGTATAGTACAGTCAAAGTGCAACCTACACGCAAGTTAATATCAGTCAACACTGGCACTTACGGTGACTGGCGCGCGCGGCCCTCATATTGACCGTCATATGATCGCTTGAAGAGACATCATCGCCTAAAACTAATAATAGGAAGGTCCATAATAAAACAATGTCACTGACTTGAGGACAGAAGAAGTCAGTTGCATTGCCATGTGAGCTCATGTGCTGGTAGTTATGCACCTGGGGTTCTTGAAAACTTGTAGGCTTGACAAGACTAGGAAATTAATGCAAGTGGTCGGTGGCATGGGATTAGAACCGACCCCCTGAGACCCAGATGGTGCCCGAAATCCGATAGACCCGATGAACATCAGCATTCTAAATCCGAATCATATTTGGATCGGATTCGCAAACAAGCTAGGACTTTGACTGAACCCGACCCGCTAGCAAATTTTTCATTCCATGTGAGAGCTCATGTGGAACAGTACGTAAAACAAAACTGAACCGAGAAAGGCCTGAGGATGGTCAAATATAACATGAGGAAAAAAAATATCACAGATTTTCTGGTAGAGATTTTTGGTACTAAGAAACATGCATAGATTCTTCTGCTCATCATCATGCTGATGTGAAGTAGGAGGGGCTAAAACCTTGAAGGAGTTAGTTTATATTCAGAAGAATAAAAGCCAAATCTTAACGCTGATCTGATGCTTATTCCATTGCTAATTTCATATGCAACTGATTTATGCAAAATCTTTAGGAGAATCTTCAATATATATTATCAAAACATTTATAAAATTTGAGACTTGTGCATGTCTTATATATCTACAAGAAAATTCGAGAAGCCTTAATTACACAAATTGCACAATAATCCGGAACTGCATCCTAATTATAGCATGCCGATAACAACATTTGAGTTTCCTTGGAAAAAAAACTATTAACGTTTGAGAGATTTAACAGTTCAGTGAAGTATTAAATAGACTACCAAATGTTGCAGTTTCGGTTTCATATAAACCAAACATAAGCACATCCTACTCTAAAAGCTCCAATTTCATCAAATCAAGCGGGGAAAGATATCTTACGATCACATATAACTCTGGTTAGAAATTTGGGCTATGTTTGAGTTGATTTGGGTTTCGGATGTTCGACTATCGGGTTTTGGGCATGGACTGACTTCAACCGAAATCGAGAAGGCGACCTTCAGTTAAGACCTATTCCAGATAGCAACTCTCAAATTTCTCCATAAATAATAAAGAATAATATTTAGCAACCTAATATGTGACCCCTAGACATAACAAGGGACACATTGGCAAATGTAACTTAAATAAGAAAATACCCCCAAATTTTGAAACAAGTGCACAGTAACCTCTTCTCAATGGACAAATTTCTTCAGTGCTCGTTCCTTTATCTGCATAAAAGAACTGAATCACAGTTGCACAGTTGATATTTAATATGGCACTCCAAAGTCCACACAAGCAGGAAGAGAGCGAGTTCATGCACCCAAACCTTGAAGTCCTAAAATAACTTTACTTAAAAGCACCAAATGCCACATGAAACTATAATTATTCACCCTAAAGAATGTGCTATTAGTGTGCGGTGAGCGATGCTACACATTGACGAAGTAATTATAGTAACAGAAGCCCATGGAGTCTCCATATTAGTGACTTACATTATATACTATTGATCAGCATGTGATGGACCTAGGAAATGGTAATTGAGACATTTGCAACACTCGCTCATATGAAAACTCCATCACATGCACACACTCTCCCTCTCACTCAGTATATCCGCGAGATATAAAAAATCTATTGGCCCACGACATCCTTTTGCTTCGATTCAACCCAAGAATGGATAGTGATGCTCGAGTAAATTCGTGCTTTCACATGGTAGTTAGCTGAACCTGTCCCATGGGAGGTCACCACGTTCATAAGCTCTCACATGTTTCCTTAAAATTGGAGGGTATATTGAATCAATAAGATGTTGAGTCAAGAAGAGGAGAGGGAAAACTTACCTACTTAAACGACTTTTTTGTTAAATCCCTCAAGGCAATGTGCAAGTGCACTCAAATGATTTGATTCTAAGTATTACCATGTTGCCATGTGACTAACCATTTGATTCTTGGTTGACCAAGAGCAAGCATATGGCCAACTACCTTATTTGTTTTCGTTCATGTTAGTAGGAAAGAAACTAATAAGTGACTTGAATACCTTATTATTATCCTGGTTAGGGGATGTAGCTTAAGCACATTATATGGTCAAGAAAACATTAAACTGCCGCTTATGTTAGTTATGACATAATTTGTCACAGATTATATTTATTTAGCAAGGCAGCTAGACGTTATGCCAAATTAGTAGTCGATTACCCACAAATGACAGGTGTTCATGGTTTATAATCTTCGCTTCTAAAGGAGGTTATACAGTGGTGCATGAATGTAGGTAACTCATAAATATCCATAAATTTAACCATTCCAAAGGACTTATAATATTCATTCAATGTTAAGGGGAAAAAATGACAATGTGAATGTTATTCATAAATCTCCAAGTTACTGTAGGAATATGCTTACCACACTTCAAGTAACTAAGTAACTTGTTATCTGTTCCCATTATGAGGATCCATTACTCCATTAAGATATCTAACAACAATTTAGCATGAAGATTTAGAACTAATCCCCATAAATTTATTTCCTTGACCTTCCATTAGTAGATGAGGTTGTTATGATGATTGGGAATATAAATACATGATTACTCAATCTTCTCCTTCCTTTTTCTTTAGCCCTTAAGTTTCTTGAGGTTATCATTTATTAGAAACTAATCACGCGTTCTTCGTCACCTTATCATGAATTAAAATCTCAGAAAAAAATTCTGGTCTTTCTTTCTATAATTAAAATACTTTGTTCACATGACACTCTATGTACTTTACATACTGTCAGTATATATACAAATCAATAAATCAAACCAACATCTTCTCTCAAACTTATGTAATAAATAAATAAATCCAACCAACCAATTCTCGTAGAAATCCAATGGGCCCTCTCCAATCATCAACCAGAATCAAGAGCCACGCCGTGTAGGTCCCGCAAGTTCATAATCATATTAAAGATTAAAGAAACCCTCATTTATTCTCTGTAGAGCAGTAGGATTTGAGAGAAGCCTTTCTTTTAAGATAGGACCTCTGCTACTCCTAAACAAAGACATTCGTAATTGAATAGTCCCAAAGGAGCTACTTAGAAGCTGGCTCATCATCATCTAACAAATTTTTTTCCCTTCATCTTTTTCGCAATATTTTAACGCGTCTTATAGGAGCTTCACTCACTTTCTCTGTTAGTTTAATGACTAGCCTGTAATGAACTAGAAAGTTCTGCCAATGAGCATGTTTTAATAGCAAGAAATTAGCAATGGTGTTAACCGACCAGAGGCATTCCCAAAATTTCACAACGTGCTCTAAAAAATTCAGGAAGTCGGCAACTAGGTCAGCAATGTGGATTTGGGGAATTATGCACAAATCCCTCTCTCTCATAAGGATGATACAAATATTCTCAATATCGCATTTCTAGTGAGGCTTTTGGTTTAAGAATTGCTAGGAAGTGAGAAGAACTATATAAAGGTTGCCAGATTGCTATACTCATTTCAAGAAGGATATATTAATACAAGCTTAATATTCTATGTACAGATTAGCTCTCTTTTTTCTTTCCGTCATGAAAAGGAGAGAAACTATAGCAAAAATCAAGCCCCATTCACATGCCTCTCAGGAACAAAGAGCTTTCACTCTTGAAACTAGAGAGTGCAACTCAGTACCCTATATCATCCTTGTACATGTTCTGGACTTTTATCTTCATGGCTTCAAATATACTAAAGAAGCATGCAAACCTAGAGAAACACATAGAAGCATGAACTAAAACTTTCCTATGGAGAAAGATCAAAAGTTTTCTGCTATAGCTTCCACACCTATAACGCTTCAAAATAAATTTCCGACAACCTTACCACCTTCTTTAGCATCTTTCTGATCAGATGTTGCAACGATAAAAGAAAATGACAACTAGTGGCGAAACTACAATTAATCATATATTAAACAGTAATTTGAGAAGAATAAATCTCACAAATATCAGTTGTCTGCGTCGAAATTTGGGAGTGAAGTTCTAACTGGATATTCTTATGGGCAGTAATCCTTTTGTTAAAAATAATAATAGTTTTGTATGATAAAAAATAAATAAACAAATATGTATGACTGGATTCCAGACTCTATCTGACGAGAAATTTTGGATGTTGGGTTGCAACTTGCAAGCTAAACATATGCCATAAGTGAACTTCTTTTTTCCCCCTTGAGAAGATAATATTTAGCTTTCTCGCAACTTTGGGGTGCAACTTGCAAAAGAGAAGGCTATAATAGTTTTAGAATAATAGACAATTAGGTTAGAGCTCGAAGCCAAACTAGAGGATAAAGAGAGGAATTGTACACAGTGGTTGAGGGTGGTGGAAGTGCATGTAACCTGCCATTTTGCGTCCAACTCTTTTAAGTTTCTCCACTTCAATGCTGGTCCCAATTTGACTTGGAAGCAGGAAAGGCATCCAACTCAGCAGGGCCTCTCTTGAGGAAAGTGGATGTTTAGATATTTGTTGAGCATGGATGCTAGTTTGTAATATAATTACTTGATTTGTTTAGGACAAATTGTCAACTTTTAGGCTGGACGATGAAATTTAGCTGCTGCAAAAGCATTTTGCCCCTAGCTCTAAAAATGCCAGATAAAAACATGATACAAGAGGGTGGAAGAAGAATGAAAACAGCTAAAATTATAAGTACTATGCTCCTAGTTTAAATTTACCTCTCCATATTATATTGTGCCTCAATCAAGAGGGGTTCTCTCTTCTAATAGGAAACAATATGGAGCTACCCACCTTATTCATCATAGACAAGAAAGGAGCATGTTATGATCTTGCATGAAATGAAGTTTCATTTGACAGTTTACCCTATTCTTTATGCAGTTGAAATTCATGCAATCAAAAACAAATCTTTTAAGTTCTCCTCGATGCTAAAGAGAACCAAATTCCTACGTTCCAGCTAGCCTTTTGAGGCTTCCTACTAAAGAAGCATGAGCACTTCATGAAGCTTGCTACAAGTTAAAAGAGAGATTAATTTGAAAGATAGAGGCGCCGTGATCCTTCTTAGAGTTGGTACTTTATAGACAAAGATATTAATTTGAAAGTTAAGAGGCTTGATCAATCTTAGAGTACTTGGTGCTTTATAGACAAACCCATTTGATAAAAAAGGGTTGGATAACGATGAGATTTGTAAGTATTAGAGTACTAGGTCATTATAATGAGCAGAAAGGAGGATCAAAACCAATAATCATGAAATTATGCAATAAGAATTAAAACCTTTGATGCCTAAATAAAACAATTCTGAAATTAAACCAGTTAAACATGATACATTCAATATATTGCCTTCAAACGTAAAGGTTATGTAGAAAACATCAATGGTATATAAAGAGAACATGGTTAAATAGATATTGCAGAAAAGAAAATTATGATTAAGTAGGATAAGGTGTTCATTGAAAAAAGAAGTACATATCAGAACCGGATGGTAAATCTCGAGTATTGAATATTACGGCATAAATTAATTTTGCTCGACTGAATCTAGAGGATAAGAAAATGCACGTTACAGCATAAATTTTGTTTGACCGAATGTAGTGTCAGAGAATTCTAGGGACTTGTGAAAAAATACTAACGAGGGGTATAAAACTTAACTATCCAAATCAAATCTCATCCTTCAGAAGATTCTAAATGACAAGGAGGAATCGTATAGATTAAATACTTAACGTCATTGTGTTTAAACTACTCCCATAGATTGTACCCAAGATATTGGCTTAGCAATAAACTATAGCGTTCAATCTACTAAAACTTAAAAATAAGAGGTGGCCGCAGATATACCATTTCAGAAAGCCACTACCTTTAACTCCCATCACATGCAATTCCTCATTGACTCCCCTCTATTTAAACACCCCCTCTCCCTCCCCTTCTCATCATTCCTCAACTCCACAACACATACTCCATTACCTACAACAACTTAACCTTTCACTCAGTTTCAATTCTCAAACACCCATTTCAAACAAATTCAATTCAATCAATAATGGGTCCTTTTGTGCCTGATAACTACGATTTCCTATCTAGGAGGTGTATGTGGGTGAATGGGCCAATCGTTATTGGCGCAGGCCCTTCAGGCCTCGCAGTGGCTGCCTCGCTAAAGGAGCGTGGTGTCCCTTATGTTATCCTCGAGCGCTCTGACTGCATTGCATCCCTCTGGCAAAAGCGAACCTATGACCGCCTAAAGCTTCACCTCCCTAAACAATTCTGTCAACTTCCAGGACTCCCCTTCCCTGAATCGTACCCCGAGTATCCTTGCAAGAAGCAATTCATAGACTACTTGGAGTCCTATGTGAAACACTTTGAAATCAGCCCAAAATTCAACCAGTCTGTCCAGTCTGCAAGATATGATGAAATAAGCAATCTATGGCGTGTAAAGACCGTAGGAAAAAACCATGAAGAGATAGAGTACATTGGCAAATGGCTTGTTGTGGCTACAGGGGAGAACGCTGAGAGTGTAGTACCTGAAATGGATGGATTGGGGTCATTCGGCAGCCAAATCACCCATGTTTGCGACTATAAGTCTGGTGAGGCTTATCGTGGAAAGAAAGTCTTGGTAGTTGGATGTGGAAATTCTGGCATGGAGGTTTGCCTCGATCTCTGTGATAATGAAGCTTTCCCTTCTATGGTGGTTCGTGACTCGGTAAGCAATCCATCAGTTCAACTTTCTAGATTTCTAATAATTTTGGCAGTGCCGTTTCTAGTTCCTAATCAGGTTCTTGGTTGCTTGAACAGGTTCATGTGTTACCTAGAGAAGTATATGGGAAATCGATGTTTGAGTTGGCTGTTTTCCTGATGAAATGGCTACCGTTGTGGCTGGTTGACAAGATAATGCTTGTTCTTGCTTGGTTGGTACTTGGGAACATAGAGAATTATGGGCTGAAGAGACCTTCCGTCGGCCCTTTAGAGCTTAAGAACACACATGGGAGAACCCCTGTTTTAGATTACGGAGCTCTGAGCAAGATAAAGAGTGGTGAAATTGAGGTAGTGCCAGCAGTCAAGAGGTTTTTACCTGGAGGAGTCGAGTTTGCTGATGGTAGAGTTGACGATTTTGACGCTGTTGTCATGGCCACGGGATACCGCAGCAATGTTCCCTATTGGCTGCAGGTAACTTTCCTTACATCTTTCTCATTTTTTTTCCACTTTCAATTTTATAACTATCCTAGGAATAGGTTATAATTTAGGTTCTTTTTATAGAAAATTGTAAAAGAATAGTTTAGGTCTTCGTCATGTGTCATAAATTTCATGAAGAGCTAAGGTAGTTCGATATGCACACGAGCAAATTGCAAATTGAAAAATAATAGTTTAGAAGTATTCAGGGACAGTTGGCCATTAAACTCAAAGATTCTTTTCCTTTTGAGCATAGACCGAAAGGAATTGGAATATTGGTCTAATCTTGGGCTTGATTTGTTGCAGGGAGGAACTGATTTCTTCTCCAAAAATGGATTACCAAAGGCGCAATTCCCAAATTCATGGAAAGGAAAGTCTGGTCTCTATGCCGTTGGTTTCACAAAAAGAGGTTTAGCCGGTGCCTCGGCTGATGCCATTAAAGTAGCGAAGGATCTAGGCAAAGCATGGAAAGAGGAAACAAAGCAAGCCAAAAGACTAGTCTCCTGCCACAGGAGGTGCATATCACAAATCTACTAATCAACCCTGGAGTTGATTTCTTACAGTGTCCCCGGAAGTTTTGAGTGAGACTAGTGTTTCTAGTGATAGAAAAGTGTGAAGAGAGCCCTCTCTCAGGAGCCCAGATTTTTTTATGTACGGGTTTTGCTGTGTGTATATTGAGATGATGAGGCTCTTATTCCCTTTTTTGCAGATTTGTGACATATTTCAGATCATTTAGACTCAATGAAAACACCACTGTATGGATTGTAAATCTTGAATATCTCTCTACCTCCTCAAGCATGTGTTTTGTTTTTCCCCGTCCTTACTTCCCCTGAGTTTGCTTTTTTATCTTTACTGCAGTGCACTCGCTATTTTCATAAAGCCTCAGAAGAACTACAGATCACAACTCCTAAAGGATCTGAAAGAGATGTTTTCCTTAAAAAAAATCCAAAGCTCCCATCTTTCAGAGATCATCTTCTTGATGTGGACTTTTTCAGCTTATTTAAGAAAGGAGATATGACAATTGTGTTTTCGGCACAATATGTCTTGGGAAACGAATGCAATTCTGTCAGTCAGTCAACTATATGTATTGCTGCTTTGTCTCGACTTGGTCCGTATTCAGAGTATTTTTGGGGGTATTCGTTGAGATCCTGATTACGTCCTCTTTCATATGACCTGCCTTCTAGGTTTGATGACGAGCCTCTCTTTCTTGAAATAAACTCCTGAAGAAATATAAGCTTGGAACTGATAGACAAGCATTGATGTCACATAGGCGAGGTGTAAATTGCTCACTTTTTTACATAGTCCTCTACACCAAAGATTGAAAATCAATTGCAAGGGATCATCATAAAACGAGGTGAGTGTGATAAGAGTTTTATGGTATATTATGGTTGATGCCCATACATATACTGGATAGATATGAGCGTACTTGAACAATCAAAGTCCAATAGAATATCACATAGAGAATCATCTATTCTCCTTCTCCTTCCCTTTGTTTTCATACATTCTTCATCAAAAAGAAAGGAGAAAAGAGAAGAAAAGATGTATGTCTAATAATATTCAAAACCTTGGTAGTTTAGATAGCAAAATGTATGGTCATATTACATAACACAATTCAGCATGTAAAGGGAAATAAAAAAAGATTGGCATTGTTATCCAGGTATTTCGTATTCATGACGCATAACTCATTTAACTTCAGAAGGCTTCACAGAAAAATCGATCAAACTTGAAGAACTAGATACCTATCATCTGTGCATAGACCTTTTACGAGTTCATGATGGTCCCAACTAAGATGACCAAAGAAAAAGAAATGTGTGCCACAAAGCTTAGGGAAGGAGATGAACAAAATCTTGTAGCTAAGCCATGAAATCATTTGGAGTGCCATGTATTGAGTAACTTAATAGAATCCACATTACCAATCGATATCTTCGACAAACAAGAAAAAGCATTGCCAATTAAATTCCTAATAGATCCATGACAGTACAGTAGACATAGTATAAGAACTCTAACCTCCATTTTAAAATGTGGTATAGAGAAAAATACATTGAGGAATCAAGGTGCACGTTCCATGTCGACCCATTCTGAAGAAACATTGTTGCAATTTTCTTCTTATCTGCAACGTTGAGAGGCATGGTTAATATCAGTTTTAGAGTATCAAGCATAATTTATATGTATAAATATCTACAAGACGTGTACGCAGTTTATATTGATGCTACAACAAATTTGTACAGTACAATCGGGAAAATGTAGGAATTCTAGTAAGGTATTTCATAAATGGGGAACACCATATACCTGATTAAATATCAGATAGCTGATTCCACTAGCTGTTTCGGCTTATTTAACATATCACCAAGATAACCGATCAGCTTGACATGACGTATCAGCCAAACATGAGCGAATTTCAACCATCGGAACAGCCCGATGATTTTTTTTTTCCATTTTTTGTTGCCCCCACATTCTATCAAACAAGATTACAACTTCTTCTCCCTTTCCATGAACCCCGCATCAACAGGAAATCATCAACCTCCAAGAGATGCCATCTTTATATCACGACCCATCATCAACAACACATTTGGCATGGTCCAACCTTCGATATCTAGGATACATATCAATCAAAACATTGCTCAGTGAATCTCCATAGTTCAACTTCATTCTTCTGGCAAATGCGCGAACTTGTTTCCTTTGAACTGACCTCACATGAAATTCCCACGGCCAAAAGCAAATTTACCAAAGACACCTTATTAGGCAAAATCCCATTTTGTTACGAAATCATCCAGAAAATATTCAAAGCCTTCTCCAACTCCGTGTGCATGTAACCACATCCTTGAGAACCATCCTGTTAGATACCTAATCTAGTCCAAACCCGGCTTCTTCGTGGCATAATACTGAATCACTCTCCCACAAAAAAAAGCAAGAGAAGTACAAATCATGCATGCATCCGGCGTCTTACCTTCCACCTAGTTTCTTCAACAAGCCTGCACACCTCCCTTCTCCCTCTCCAATATATCATATGCTCCGAAACAATTGAGTTTGATCAAGATGCACAATTTCTCACAGGATATTAATCGAACAGTTTCCGGGCATCAATCGGATATTCACTACTAAAACCCTCGAGAGGGTAGTTATCGGGCGACGGGCGGGTCCGGTTCCGGACGGAGAGGAGATGGGTCTGACGAATAAGCCGTTATTGGAGTAGAAAGAGATAAAAGGGATTGCTGAGGGTGGAGGAGCTGGAAAATTTGGCGGGAAAGCGCGTGGAGACTGGAAAAAGGGAGATGTTGAAGAGCCTGAGGGTGAGGGAGAGGGGAGGTTGACGGAGAGTTGCTGGAGGGGGAAGAGCGCGGGAAAAGGGTTTCTTTTTTATTTTTTTATTTTTTTATTTTTTTATGTGACAAATATGAAAATTAATGGGAGGCTGATTAAGGAAAGCCTCAATTTTGATCATGAGAGCTTTATTATTGGGAAAACTAATTAGTTGTCTTCATATAATAAGAAAAATTAACGAAAACTGAAAAAGAAAAAAAAATACTCTCCTCACACTTGAAAAAAAATTAACGGAAATATCATAATACTTAGAAAAATGAACGACTTTCTTGGAAGAAATAACCTAAAAAAAAGAATGGTGCGAAATTCTACACGTCTTTTTTTTATATATAACTCAATATCAGAATTGAACTCGCATTAGAACTTTCTAACCGTCCGAATTACCAACGTTGGGCAATGCTTTACGTGTTTCAGCCATAACTTTTCCATATAAATATCTAAAGGCTTCTTTGGATTGGAAGTAATGAGGGGTAGGGGAAGTTATGAGACGCTTTATTTTTATTTGGGAATGAAGTTATAGTAGGTAAAGTGGGAGAAAACTTAAGTTTTTGTTCCCACCAATTTGAGGTGTCGTGAAGATGAAAGAAACTTTTAAGATAAAAATAATTATGGAGAGACCATTTTATCCCGTATCTAATTTCTAATAATAAAATGACTTAATAGCATGTGAGATTATTATCGTAATTTTACATATATTCCATTCCCTTCTCTTCACTTTATTAAACATTACAAACGTGGTGAAATAAGTTTCTCTTAATTCACCTTACTAATTTCTCAAATAAGTTTTATATATTTCATTTCCATCCCTTAACGTAACTATGTTTGCTTTACTATTTTTAAATTAGAAAATAGTATCTGATAAAAGAAAACAAATATATATATATATATATATATATAACAAAAATAGAATGAGCCCAGTTTCAGTTAAAACGTGCTGCTTGCTTGGGTTTATTTTCTGTAGGGTTTTTCTGGCTTAAAACCTAGGGTTTTGAGTTCTCGTAGCAACGATCGAAGTAAAGGATGTACTCCGACTGCGAATCATACGACGACTACGACGACGGGTACGACGACGGCGACTGCTACGGCGACGGCGATGTCTACGATGACGGCAGGTGGACATGCAGGCTCCGATGATGGTTGCGAGACGCGATCAGGGACGCGAATGCTTCGGTGGATGTCGACCCTCATCAAGGGGAAGATGGAGACGGTGGTTCTGATAATGTTGAACTGGATGATCCAGAGGTTATCGTGGATCAGGTGACGGTTCTGATAATGTTATTTTTGTCGTCAAATTTAGATTTTTATTGTTGGATTTGATCACATTTTTGGCTCTGTAGATTAGGGTTTGATTTAGTTTGGCTTGAATCACTTTACTCAATGCAAATGGCTGAACTGTGCATGGGGAGCAACTGGGTTGGCACAAAACAACCCTGAACTTTGTAAAACTGAGAAACCCCCGAAACTTTGGGGAATTTCCCGAAAGCCCGTGGACTTTCGAAAAGTTCCACCTGAACTTTGGGGCAAACTTTGTTCTTGGGTTTATCAGGGAACGGTAGCATGAATTTTTTTTTTTTTTTTTTTTTTTTGGGGGGAACTTTCTTTGATGGTTTTCCTTTTTTTTTTGAGAAAGTAATTTTTTCCTGAGATAGAGTTTACTTTCTCCAAAAAAAAAGATAATTCAAAAGTGCAGTAGAGTTCTGTGAAACTATCCAAATTTGAGGGGGTTTCTTTAATTTTCAACGCACATGCTAGTTTTGTGCAAATCACCCCAGAGTTTAGCGAGGTCTGTGACGTTCACCCTTCAGTTTATTCTATTTTGTATGATAAACAATAGAGGCAATATAATGGGAGTGATGCGAATTACGATTTATTAATGGTGCTGTTTATAATGATCTATATGATTATGTCGACACCAATTTGGCTGACTGATGAGATTATGTGTTGTCATTGCTTCAGGATTCTGAGGAAGATAATGGGAATCCTGATGATTATCATTATGATTTGGCTGGTAATGATTCTGGTCTTCGAGACTTTGCAACTCTTCATGGAGGGAATCAAGTTCATGATTCCTATGATTCAGAGGACACAGAACAGGTGATTGATTCTCATGAACTGTACTGACCTACTGTTTGACCTTAATTAGCAGCTTCAGTAGTCGATTAACATGCTATTCTCTTGCGGTTACTTTAGTTGGTAGCTTAATTAATTTGTCTTCATTCAGTGGTTAATCAAGTTAGATCACATGTGAGCCTATTCTGGCAATTAATTATATCTTAATTAGCTGTCTTAACTCATTTTATTCAATGTTGTTTGGCATAGAACGAAAAGATGAGGTTGGATCAACTGGGAAATGCACTCATTCTGACCACACAATTTGATTATTAATTTATCCCTTGCAGATTAAGGTTAATCCATAAGCAAAGGAGGAAGTTGGTCTAACAACATTAGCCCACTAATGACACTTCCAAAGATTAAAGACTAGTTGCTTAGTATTGGTATACAAATTAATATTAATATTCTATTCCACTTATTCTCTATGGTGACCAAACATGTGAATACATGGAACATTATGAGTCGTCATATATCTCGGGTAAAAATGGAAACTTGGAATAAGAGCCGGTTTAATCGTTTATTAAACTAACCTTAGTAATCAATTGATCTTTCTATTCCTTGATATACCGTTACCGAAAAATCTATTTTTTCTAATCAATAAATTCCTGTTACTGAACACTACAAAGAGCACTGGAACTTTTAGGAAATCTTAATTGGTCTTTGGAAGAATATCACATACTATTTGTTTAAACTTATTTTATTGATGTACATTACTTTGGGCCTAGGGGGTGATATGATTATGATAATGATTCTATTTAAAGCAATTCATACTGCTAGGTGAGCACACACCAGTTTGGCTTATTAATGAGCTATCAATTGCTATTGCTTCAGGATTCTGAGAACGATTATGGGTATCATGAGGATGATAATAGTGATTCAGGGGACGACGATGCAAGTAATTCATATGTTGTCACTCTTCATGGAGAGGATCATGGTCACAATTCTTATCACGCAGAGGACAGAGAACAGGTGATTAATTCTCATGATATTTCTGTACTGACCTACTGTTTGACATTAACTAGCAGCTTTATTAGTTGATTAGCATACTAAACATTTGTGGTTATTTTAGTTGAACTTTTTTTTCATTTGATTGCTAAATTAGATCACATTTACAGCCCATTTTGGCAATGAAATAATACTTTATTAATTATCTTAATCCATTATTGGGCATACAAGAAAAAGTGAAGTTGGATTAACTGGGTTGGCCTTAATGCAGTTAATTCTTACGAAGAAATTTACTTATGCATTTATTCGTTACTGATTAAGGCTAATCTTTCTAGCAAAAGGAAGGTGGACTAATAGCATTAGTCCATAATGGCATTTCAAAAGATAAAAAATATGACATAATATTGCCATATTGGTATCCAGAATAGCATTAACATTCTATTCCACTTACCCTGTTTGGTGACCAAACATGCGGAATATATAAGAGAATTGAAAATTTCTTGTCTTGTGTCCAAATGGTAAATCAGAGTAATAATCTGTTTAAGTCATTTAATTAAATTAATTTAATTAAACTAATTGTAGTAATTGATGTATAAACTCTGTAATCTTGATACTTGTTATTTTTCATTATCACCGAAGAAAACGAAGAAGACTAGATTGAGAATCTATTTTTTATATAGATTATAGAAGATTATTTTAAAATATTATGGACAGTAGTAAAAAAAAAGTTTATGTACCTATATCCTATTTGCACATTGTGGTCAAACTTTTTGTTTTACGACTGTTAAGGATGAAATTAATGTTTAATATAATAACAAGAGTTACTTCTTTTGTTATACTCTTAGCAACATGAACAATGATCAGGTATTTATTGTTTAAGGATTAATAAATAACTTATTACTTGTTTGAATTTTAAAGATTTTTCAAAGCATTGGACTTGATTGTCTCAACTACGAAAAATTATTTATCTCCATTAAAAATATTTTATATCTTTTACTCATATGTTTAATTATTTACAATATTAATAGTTATATAATTATGCGACAATGAGTTTAACTTGATATTTTATCTTTTACTCATAATGTCTAATTATTTACAATATTAATAATTATATAATTATGCAACAATGAGTTTTAACTTGTTTTCAACTTATCTTTTCTTTTATAGCTTAGCTTGTTTCTTCTTATTAACTGGTCTTAAACTCTTAACCTATTACTTTTAATGGTGAAATAATTTTTTTTCTTCTTCCCTCTCAAGCTTAAAGCCTAACCCTAATCCTAAACATATTTCTAACACTAACTCTAGGAGGCGGTAATACCCCAACAACTTAATTCTCTTACTTCACATCCTTCCACTCTTTCATCCCCTTTCATCAGTTGCAGGCCCAAACAATAATCATGGGTAGGTTTTGAATATGAAGGAGAGATGAAGGAGAGGGGTTCTTGGTTTCAAAGGGGGCATATCCTGGTTGCAACCTCTCTAGCAGAGATGATGGAGCAAGAAAAGAGAGCACAGGAGGTGGGACGAGGTGGGGGAGAGGAAGAAAATTGCAGAAGGGGAACTATAGATGTAAGAATAAGATATTGCAAATTCTGCCAAAAAATTCTCATTGATATGACAGTGAAATAGATAGGATAGTTTATGCAAAAAGGGGGGAAAACTTTTAGCTTAATGCTAGGTAAACTGACTAAAAGAGTAAAAATATGATTTCGGACTTTGATTAAAAACATATTAGATAGTTTGTGGGTATTTTCCTGTCCAAAGAAAGAGTTAATGATATTTTTTGACGATCGCCACTAGTTATGGCAGTTTCTAAAAATTAGTTTCTACACAAATCTTTCTTTTAGACTGATAGCTGATCTTTTGCAGAGGGGCAAGATCTACCTTGAGTTTGATGGGGCTTCGAAAGGAAATCCTGGTAGAGCTGGTGGAGGAGCAGTGCTTAAGTCTGAAGATGGAACTGTGGTAGTTAATCAATTTAAACTTGTTCTCTTTTCCTTTTAATGTTTTTATTGATTTGGGGTCTATTATGTTGATACTCATTGCACTCGCACACGGGGAAAATGGGTACGGGGTGATAATTCATTCTGCAAAATGAGCTGCCAAGAGGTCGACTAGTGGTGAGGTTTGCCTTGCTAGTCACATCAAAATGTGTAGACCTCATGACTGCTTCTATCTCTTGGTAGCTTATTTTGCTAAATGTGATACCCTATATATATAGGACAAATTTTTGTTTTAGACCTTTTTAGAAAAATATTTGTAAAAATCGACCTATTTTGAAAATATTCACCAATTTCGACCCACTTTCAACCAGTTGGCTGAAACTGGGTCGAAATTAGCGAAAAATGTTCAAAAACTTCATGGGATTTTAACAACGTGATTAAGGGGGCGAAAACTTCACGGGATTCTAAATCCCATGAAGTTTAGAATTAGCCTGACTCCACGCGGATTTTAAGTCCCGGGGAGTTTAATATAACATGGTCGCCATAGTTGGCCAAGTGGTTAGCTCAAAGAAAGTTAAACTTCAATCATTCAAGTGGGATTGAGTTCGAATCTTATCCCAACATATTTTTTCCTTGAACATTTTAAAAAATTTACAACGCTAGGATTCGAACCATGTGCTTCCTATCCAAGTCTTATAAGCTAATGTTATAACCAGTAAACCCATTGCACATAACTACTTATTTTATGAAATTTGTTTAATATAAACTTCACACGATTTGGCCCCCTTAACGACGTTGTTAGTAAATGACTTAAACTTTACGGGATTTCAAATCATGTGAAGTTTTTGAACATTTTTCACCAATTTCGACCCAGTTTCAGCCAATTGGCTAAAACTGGATCGAAATTGGTGAATATTTTCAAAATAGGTTGATTTTTGAATATATGTTTCTAAAGAGGTCTAAAACAAAAAATTATATATATATATATATATATATAGAGAAATTGAGTAAGCTTTTGGTACCAACACAAATTTTGGCTTGGTATGAGGGTGGCACAATCCTTCAACTCATTCAAATGGGGGACCACATCACATGGGTTGAGGAGTGCATGAGGATAGAATCATTTGAATGAGTGAGAGGGGATTATGCGACCTCACAACCAAAGCAATTACCATATATAATATATATATATATAGTATATATACATATATAGTAATTATAGTGAAACACTTGTGTTAACTTAAGTGGATAGGCAAATAGTGCCACAAAATTTATCTATGGACTTGCTAGGGATCCGTTGCTTATATGAAGAGACGTTTATATTAATCAAATGAGTGGCTAAAAGTTTGGTGGACAACCTATTCGCCTATCCACTTAAGTGATAAGTCTTGCTCTCTCTCTCCTCTCTCTCTTCTCTAATATATATATATATAATATATATTATATATATTATATATAGTATAAGATATATATTTAGTTTCCTGTGTGTAACTATTTTCTGTTGAAATGAAGATTACTCGAATGCGTCAAGGCTTGGGCACAGCTACGAACAATGATGCTGAATATGAATCACTCAAGAGTGGGTTGAAAATTGCTCGTGATATGGGTTATGACAAGATACATGTGAAGGGAGATTCCAAACTTGTCTACAAGCAGGTTTGCCTTTTTCTACTTGCTTTATGAATCATGACTCTGTCATCTTTATTTTCTGTATATTGTATGTTCTCGTTTTGCACATAATAAGTTACTAAATTGTCCTATTTAAATCTCAAAAAACTTTTAGGCTCCATTTGACAAGAGAATAAAAAAGAATGAGATTAAGTGGATTAATCGATGCTTATTCTTATTCTAAACCATTTAAACAACTGTTTTATTTCAACTTTTTTTGTTGGCTGCAGGACATATTAGATCAGATATTTAATCCATTTATTTCACTTCTTGTTTGGCAACTAAACTATAGTAAGTTAAATAATTGGCAAACTTTGTTGTAAATACATAATGGGAATAGTTTTTGCAAGTTTGCGTCCACCTTAAATTTTGGATTAGCCTCAAAATACAAAAGATGACTTGGACCAAGTGCATCCAAATAAATAGATCAATATTTCTTGTTAAAAATTCAACTGATGATTATTCAATTTGGTCGGAAGAGAATCATGCCATTTTGTCTGAAGTGTCCTTCAATGAATACCTAAAACTTAATCGCCTTACAGATTTACCTTTCTTCGCTCCAAAAGAAATGGAAGCTTTAAGAGGGAATATGCTAGATCTACAATTAAGTCCTAATTAGCTAATCATGATTAGTTTGTAAATTGACCATTCATCTTTAGTTTATAGTAGTCTGTGCCTCAGACTTGACGCAATCAATGTGCTTGAATCTTACTAATAAGTCATAATTGGCAGTTCCTCTTGCAACAGAACTTTTTCTATGAAGAAATGAATTTTCTGAACATAAGGATAATATCTAAAATGTTTTTTAATTAAAAAAATAACATTTAATACAGGTAACAGGTAAGTGGCAAACCAGGAATAAAAGAATGGCTAAGCATTGCGATGAGGCAAGGCAACTTATCGATCAGTTCAAAGAATTCGAAATAAGCCATCATCCAAGGGTATGAATAATCTCTCGCTGACATCTTCATCCATAGACTTCCCTGCTCGTGCTTATGTCAAGGGGAGCCATCGGGTTCAAAATTTTTAAGTTTTCTCTTGTCAAATTTTTGAATATAATGAGTATGGATCTTTAGTTTCCTATCAAGGACACTAGTGGAGATCAAGATTAGATTACATACTACTTGATTAATAACTTTGAAAAGTAATTGGTCTTCTTTCGCCTCTAGGATCAAAATACGGATGCTGATAGGGAAGCTAACCGAGCTGCTGACCTTCCTGGTAAGTGACCAACCATGTCTACTGCATTTACACTTGATTAATAACTGGTGCATTTCTACTTCCTTTTGATCCAAGAAACCACGCTTACATAATTTTTATGGCAGAGGGTCGAATCTTCTGGGAGTATAACTGGCACTACTGAAGATTTTAGTAGTTCAAATGCTCTCCTTATTGCTAATTAGTATAGATCTTTGTAAATAACTGGTGTCTAGTTTGAATTGTGTGAACTCCTTACTGCTAATTAGTTTAGATCTTTGTAAATAACTGGTGTCTAGTTTGGATCGCGTGAACTGTTTACTACTGCTAATCTAAAGGAGTTTTGTGGTTTTTATTTTGCGGAGATCTGCGTTGATTTTTTTCTTCTTTAATCCCAAGACTTGACCAGTTAGAGAGAAATTCGACATTGAAGCTCCATCATTCCAGTCATTCTCACTGAATGTAACTGTATCCTTGGCCTCAGAAGGTACATAATCCAGAGCCATTCCACTTCCTGGCTTTCTATTATCAGCAAATAAGCCAATCCAACTTTTAGTATGATTTTTTTTTCCCTTTAGAACATCAGATTTCTCAACAGAAGATTTCTCAGTACCGGAATCAGACACAGAAACAGGATCCGAATTCAAATTAGTAGATTTCAATGGAACCATGTTCGTTTCTGAATCAGACATATGAAATGAATCTGAAGACAAATTTCTAGCTAGTTAAATTATTTGTAAAATGCCCAAACACTTTGAAAGAGACTACATCATACTCTTACACGAGAAAAAAAAATCAATTGAAATGCGCCGACACTTTGAAATATAAACACAAACGACCGTACGCTTGGAAAAATCCGGAAAATTAAAACTACAACAAACCATCTTCTTCCTTGACATACAATTTGATCATGGCATTTCTCATGCTGCGTGTCATGCACACGTAGTTGCACCAAAAAACTAGTTCAAGTATAACTGTTGGGCGCAGAGTCACGCTCACTGCCGCGGAAGCGATATCACCTGAGAGATAGCCCTGACTTTTGTTGTCACAAAAGCACAAGTCAACCTCTATGAGATAGCCCTGACTTTTGTTGTCACAAAAGCACAAGTCAACCTCTATATTCTTGTTTCTCAAAGGAAACTAGAATAGATAGTGAAATTCTTATTTCTCAAAGGAAACAAGAATCGAAAGTGATATATTACATCAAAGTGATATATTTCATCAAAATGAAATATACACTATTCCTCTCATCAGTTCTAGGACTGAAATATCAAGGGAACCTATAAATTATGGCAACTCACAGATAAGACAAATACAAACACAAGATTTACGTGGTTTGACTAACTAGCCTACATCCACGGGAGGAGGTTTCACTACGAATGAGAAATACCAAAACACCAAACTTATAAAAGGAACGGGGGGGCGGGGGGGGGGGCGGGAAGAAAGATTTAGCGGAAAAATCCCGCCGCGACTCACCGAGCTCAACGCCCGGAGCCACGACCTCGTGCTGTCCTCGACCGCGACGTGGGCTTGGCAGGCGGCGCACGAACTCGAGCCGACGAGTTTCTTCGTGGCCGCAACAAAGGCGGAAGCGGCGGGTGGGCCCCATGTCCCCCACGAATCCCAAACTAAAGCGTTTTCTCATTACAAGCCCTCACATTGTTAATCTTATGAATCTCGCTCTCTAATAAATTCCTGAAATCGCTGACAACTTGTCAACTTACGCGAACCCGGGGCTTAATAGCAATTTCAAATGATTTGAGGGACTGACTCATAATATTAGAAACGTAAGGGACTAATATCGAAAAGTACCACCATTATTTAAAACCATGATCTTTGTTTTAGTTACGTTCTAACTTCTCCCTCTAGGGTTTCTCTTGTTTCGTAGCCTGGCTAGGGTTTTTGAGAAGGACAAATTTTCAAAACCAACCTATTTACAAATTTAATAGCAGAAAACAACCTATTTCAGATTTAATTGCAAAAACCGACCTGGTTTCAGCCCTGGAGCTGAAACCAGGTCGGTTTTTGAAAATTTTTATCCGAAACTTCACGGGAGTTGAACTCCCGTGAAGTTTCGTAGTTCAAATTTTTTTTTTTTTTGTACTGGGAAACTTCACGGGAGTTCAACTCCCGTGAAGTTTCGAAAGTTTTTTCACAAAAACCGACCTGGTTTCAGCGCCAAGGCTGAAACCAGGTCGGTTTTTGCAATTAAATCTGAAGTGGGTTGTTTTCTGTGATTAAATTTGTAAATAGGTTGGTTTTGAAAATTTGTCCTTTTTGAGAATGGCCTCCGACTCTGAATCCTACGATGGCTCCGATTCCGACGTTAGCAGAGACTACGGTTCCGATGATGGTCATTATCACGGTCATCTTTCTTATTACATTAATGATGTAGGTTTTTGTTGTTTGAATTTCGCTTGCTCTTACCTTTTTTTTAGCTGCTGAATTTGATCAAAGTTTGGCTATGTATGGTAATGCAATTAGGGGTTTGATTAATTTTGGCTTGGATCAAAGTTTTCGACGCATGCAGCTGAATTGTGTTCGTGTGGGGGTTTAACTGGGTCGATATGTACTATTGATGAGTGGAAATTGTTAGGAAACGATAATTGGTATATTGATTGGTATTTTGAATAATATTACAGAGCTAAACTTGTGTGTTAACTTAAGTGGATAGCAAAAAGTTGTCCAACAAAGTTTTTAGCCACTCCTATTGCCTAGGAATCCTTGCATGATATGAAAATGTTTTTTATATTAATAAATGAGTAGCTAGGAAGTTTGGTGGATATCAACTTAGTCTTACTCTAATATTACATACTATTAGGAGGGATGTTCAAAACCCCTGCTCAAATCCTTGTTTGCGCGTGCCACAAAATCCAACAAACATTTCGTCTTGTTGCGCATGAATTTTTTCGTGGGAATTTTATGATTAGGCCGACATCACTTTGGCTGACTGATGAGACTATCCATTGTTCTTGCTTCAGGAATATCAGGACTATGAGGAAACTGATTCCTATCAGTCTGAGGAGGACATAGAAGAGGTGATTAATTCTCGTGTGATTTCCTCTGTGCTTTTCGTTTGTGGATCTTATGTTAGCTTAACTCTTCTTCATTTAGTTTTAAATTAGATCACATTTAAGCCCCATTTTGGCAATGAAATAAAGTTTGATTAATCGTCTTAATCCAATGTCGGGCATATATCAAATGGGTGTGGTTGGAATAACTGGGTTAGCCTTAAATAAGTTTTTATGGTCAAGAAATTTAATTGATGGGTTTATCCAATTAAGGCTCATCAATTTAAGGAGAAGATGGACTAACAGCACTAGTCTGATAATGGCGCTTCAAATGATAAAGAAAACTATTAACAAAATATTGGTATCCAGAATAGTAGCAACATATTATTCCACTTGTCCTGTTTGATGCCTAAACATGTGGAATACATGGAGCAGAATGAGTAGTCAGAGTAAGGACTTTGAAATTGTTTAATTAAAGTAATTGTATAAATCAATTTGTAAGCTACTTTATCTTTTTATTTTTTATTAGTACTGAATAATGCACGAGGGCTGGATTAACGGATTGTCCCTCATCCGGTTATTTCGAACTGAGTTTGTCCGACTGTGATGTCCTTTGTTGACCAAAGTATCTATTAAACCAAGGGGGTGACTGATATTGTTATTGTCATAATGATGTTGTTTATTTCTGTTCATGTGAACTGATAAATTTCACGCAACAGGTCAGTGAATGAGTTACTTTCTTTCAGGGGTTCTCTTGAATTGTTCTTCAACTGACATTTGTCATTGACTAGTTTTCATAGTTGATTAGCACAGGCAACAAAGATGGAGCTGGAAGGGGGAGAGAGCATAGGAGTTTAACAAAGTATAGAAGGGGAAGAAATTGTGGGGAAGTGAACAAGAGGAGCAAGAAGCTAATGCAAACTTTGTCCCAGAAGCCTATAAATGTGCTAAAATAATAGATAGGTTATGCAAAAAATTCTTTTTACCCTCAACTCGATGCTAGATAAAGTGACTAAAAGAGAGAACATACTTCTAACTTCGGTCGAACATTGTCAAGTAATTGTCTATAATCGCAAATGTCATGGGTAGGTTTGTGTTACAATAAAAGTTAATGACAGGATCACGTAATATTTGTCTCACTTTCTTGAAATTTAGTTTGTATATTTATCTTTCTTTAGACTGATGCTGTTTTTTGTTTTAAATTGACAAGGTCTACCTTGAGTTTGATGGTGCTTCGAGAGGAAATCCTGGAAGAGCTGGGGCAGGAGCAGTGCTTAAGTTTGAAGATGGAGCTGTGGTAGTTAATCAATATGATACCTGCCTTCTTTTCCTTTTGACGTTATTGAGTTTGGCTCTGTATCACTGATATCTATTTTATATATGTGTATTATTGTTTGTGTAACTATTTTTGATTTAAATGAAGATTACTCGAGTACGGGAAGGTTTAGGCATAGGTACGAACAATGATGCTGAATACAGAGCACTAATCAGAGGATTGAAGACTGCTCTTGAGATGGGCTATGACGTGATCCATGTGAAGGGGGACTCGAAACTTGTCTGTAAGCAGGTCTGTCCTTTTTTATGTTCGTCTCATGAATCATGACTCTTTATCATCTTTTTTATGCTCTTTTTTTAATGTTATATCGTATGTCCTAAGTTTGCCATAAGAAGTTTTAAATTTCGTTTGTAAATAATGAAAAATGATGTTTTCCCTTATTCTATTTATACTATATGTTACCTAGGTGGCTCATGGTGAACTAGGGCTTGTTTTCCTGCACTCCTCGATAGTCTGCATGGTTATATTACTCTTGATTCTTTGCACTTGTTTATGGTTCTATTAGTAGAAGTACATCTCATAGTTGTAAGATGAGAATATATGCTTTCATTCCCTTAATGATTATTCATCCAAACCTTGATCATGCAGCACTTTTAAGCCCTTGATAGTTGCATTTATCCAAACCTTAATCGCGCAGCTTTCAAGCCTCTCTGGTTTTCATAGGGAATGCTCTTCTGTTATCTTTTGGTTAATGTTGGGCTCAGAGTCACGCCCTCGTGTCACGGAAGCGATATAACCTGAGAGAAAGCTCTGGCTTTTGTTTTCACAAAAACTTAAGTCAACCTCAAAACAAAAGCTCAAGTCAACCTCTATATGCCTGTTTCACAAAGTAAACAAGAACATAGTAAAATATCTCACAAAGTGAGATATACTCTTCCTCTCAGCAGTTTAGGACAGAATGTCGAGGGAACCTACAAGCAATAGCCAACACACACAGTAAAGACACGTGATTTACGTTGTTCGACAAATTTTCCTACGTCCACGGGAGAGGTAAAGGGGGATTTCACTATGAGAAGAATAACAACTTTCACTTGTACAACTCACAAGCTCTCTCTCTCTCTCTCTCTCTCTCTCTCTCTCTCTCTCTCTCATTTTTTTCTCTTCAAAAATCTCTCAAAATTCCCACACCCTTTTTTCTTTTCTTCCGAGCAACTTCTCTCTTCCTCACCTCTCCTATTTACAGGCAAAGAAGAGGGGACAAGGGAGTATGGATGAGCATGGGGGAAGCATGAGTGAGCATGAGGGGAGCAAGGGGGGTTCCACCATCTCGTGTCCCCCCATCTCACATTCACAATTTTTTACCTCGTTCATCATTTGATAAACCTTAAATTTTGGACGGAACCAGAAGAACACCACGAACATCATCAGAGAGATCAGAGACACCAAACCATGTCAAAATCAGGCCAAACCAGCTGTACTATTATACCATGGTTGCCTACGTTAATGCTTCTGTAGGTTGTAAACTATTTTCTATTTGGGCATATATGGTAAGAGCAACCTGAATTAAGAATCCACTTTCCGAAGATATCCTCACCACCCGTGATGACATATCATTTCTTCTCATTGTCTTCCTCTGAAACGTAGCTCGCCTCTTCCTTGCCTTATCTTCTCTCAGTCTTATTGTTCTTCTTCTTCCCACATACTCTCTTGTTAGGACAGTCAACTTTGAAATACCCTAGCTCACCGCATTTTAAACACGTCATTCCCGCAAGAGGTCTCAATTTCGATCTAGATTTTTCTCCTTTGTTTTTTCCTCGCTCATTACCCCTTCCTCTAGCAAATAGTCCCTGAACTTGCTCTTTGTTACCACTAGTGGCCATGTCACTAGTTATAATTTTTCAAAGATCATCCGTCAGAAGCATCGTTTTTGTCTCATCCATCGTCAAATTGTCTCATACAAGCATCAATGTTTGTATCAGGTTCTCATAAGATTTCGGTAAAGAAAGTAGCAGAAGTGCTTGGTCCTCATCTTCTACTGTCACATCAATATCCTTCAAATCCGATATGATCCTATCGAACTTGTTGATGTACTCCCGGATTGACGAGCCTTCCTCCATTTTGCAAGTATACAATTTGGATTTCAAGTAGATCTGATTTGTTAGACTCTTCGTCATGAAGGAACTCTCAAACTTTGATCACACGCCCGCAGCCGTTTCCTCTCCATCTACCAAGAAAGCAACATCGCTCTCAAGGCATAGGATAATCGACGCTCGTGTTTCGAGATCTAACTCTTCTCAATCCTCATCGAACATATCTTTGTGCTTCTTCCCTTTTTCTACCAAAGTTTTGTGCAATTTCTGCGAAATCAGCGAATTTTTCATCTGCATTCTCCAATAGGAAAAATCATTCTTCCCATTGAATTTTTTAATCTCGTACTTTCCAACTTTAACTGTTTTACTTATAGACGTCATTCTCCGCTTGTAGTAATAAAACCGTTTCTCTCAGGAATTTTAACAAATACCTAGTGTTTATCACACAATAATCAAGCACCACTTCAGATCAGAAGTTTTATCACCTCCAATCTGAATAAAGGGCTTTGATACCAATTGTTGGGCCCAGAGTCACTTCCTCATGCCACGGAAGCGATATAACTTGAGAGAAAACCCTGACTTTTGTTTTCGCAGAAGCTCAAGTCAACCTTTATATTCCCGTTTCACAAAGAAAACAATAACATAGTGAAATATCTCAACAAAGTGAAATATACACTCTTCCTCTCAGCAGTTCTAGGATTGAATGTTAAGGGAACTTACAAATAATAGCCAACACACTGGATACTTCCTCGAGCAGAACGAGTAGTCTGTTAAACATTATTCGTGATGCATCTGAATGGTAAATCAGAACAAAGACCTTTTTAAGTCGTTTAATTAAATTAATTGTATAAATTGATTTGTAAAATCTTTAATCTCTTTATTTCATTAGCACTGAACAATGCAAGGTGGGCTGGATTAACTGGATTATTCCTCATCCAGTTATTTCAAACTGAGTTTGTCCAACTATGATGTCTCTTGTTGAACAAGTATCCATTAAAACAAGGGGGGATAATGTAAATTGTGATTGTCATTGTTCATTACTGTTTATTTAAACTGATTAATTTCATGCACCAGGTCACTGATTGATTTATTTTCCTTCGGGGTTCTCTTGATATTGTTCTATTTACATTTGACATTTACTAGCTTTAGTAGTTGCTCCATAATCTTATTTTTCCTTGTAAAGTTACCCTATCGCAGTTTTTTTATTTGAAACTATTTGGTCAAAATGTTTTTGCTACACGAGGATGAAGTTATCATTTAATATGATAACAAGAGATTTCTTTTGGAATAGTCATCACAAAAGCAGACGATACATTATCAAATGTTTATTACTTAATCATTAAGAAATAACTTACTGGAGTTTTAAAAGGTTTTGTAAAAGCATTGGAATTCATTCTTTATGTTATGAAAAGTTATCTATCTGTAGTAAAAACATTAAAACTTTACACATAATATGTTATTATTAACATTATTAATAAATATTTAATTATACAAAAATGGTTTAACTAGGCTTTTAACTTATTTTCTTGTTAGCTTGTTTCTTCTTATTAACTTGTTTGCCTTATTATTTGTAACTGTGAAATAATCCCGAAAGCTTTTAATTTATTTTTTCCCCTTCCATCCTTATAACCTAACCGTAATTCTAACCCTACCTCTAACCTAGGACGTGACAATAACCTTACAACCTAATCCTCTTCCTTCCCTTCCTTCCACTCCTTCATTCGCCTTTCATCAATGCAGACCCAAACAATAACATGGCTGAGTTTGAATATGAAGGAAAGCAGAGGGAGAAGAATTATTGGGTTCAAAGGGTGTTGCAACCTCTCTGCAGAGAAGATGGAGCAGGAGGGAAGAGAGCATAGGAGGTGGAACAAAGTATAGAAGAGGAAGAAACTGGGGGGAGATGAACAAGAGTAGAATGAAGATAATACAACCTTTACCCCAAAAACCTATCAATGTGCTAAATAATAGATAGGTTATGCAAAAAGTATATTTATAGATGTAAGTGACTAAAGAATAAAACTATATTTTTAGCTTCCATTAGACATTGGTAGGTGCTCATCTATAAGTGTAAAGCTTGTAGTTAAAGTTAATGACAGATGCTGTTTTTTGTTTTAAATTGACAAGGTCTACCTTGAGTTTGATGGTGCTTCGAGAGGAAATCCTGGACCAGCTGGGGCAGGAGCAGTGCTTAAGTCTGAAGATGGAGCTGTGGTAGTTAATCAATATGATACCTGTCTTCTTTTCCTTTGGACGTTTTTAATTGAGTTTGGCTCTGTATCACTGATATCTACTTTATATATGTATATTATTGTTTGTGTAACTATTTTTGATTAAAATGAAGATTACTCGAGTACGGGAAGGTTTAGGCAGAGTTACGAACAATGATGCTGAATACAGAGCACTAATCAGAGGATTGAAGACTGCTCTTAATATGGGCTATGACGTGATCCATGTGAAGGGGGACTCGAAACTTGTCTGTAAGCAGGTCTGTCCTTTTTTATGTTTGTCTCATGAATCATGACTCTTTATCATCTTTTTTTATGCTCTTTTTTTAATGTTATATCGTATGTTCTAAGTTTGCCATAACAAGTTTTAAACTTCCTTTGTAAATAATGAAAAATGATATTTTTCCTTATTCTATTTATATTATATGTTACCTAGGTGGCTCATGGTGGACTAGGGCTTGTTTTCCTGCACTCCTCGCTAGTCTGCATGGTTATATTACTCTTGATTCTCTGCACTTGATTATGGTTCTATTAGTGGAAGTACATCTCATAGTTGTAAGATGAGAATATATGCTTTCATTCCCTTAATTATTATTCATTTAAACCTTGATCATGCAGCACTTTTAAGCCCTTGATAGTTGCATTTATCCAAACCTTAATCTTGCAGCTTTCAAGCCTCTCTGGTTTTCGTAGGGAATGCTCTTATGTTATCTTTTGGTTAATGTGCTAAGAAGTCATTCGTCTGTATAATTTAGTTGCGCTATAGCATCATGAGCTCCCTCTATTTTATGTGCTAAACCTTCTGTTTTCTGGTGCCTGGAATCTAGCTTGTGAAACCTGGAATATTTGTTAATGGTTCATTTCTTATATAGGGGTTCTATACAGCGTAAAAGCTTTGTTTATATATTCCCTTTTTTGTATGTTTTTGTTTATGTTTTGTTCATGTGTGTGTGTGTTTTTTGTATATATATGTGTGTTCTTTTGTGCATAAAATTCATTGGCTAAACACTTTGAACTCTAATACAGGTAAGAGGTGAGTGGTGCGTTAGAAGCGATAAATTGGCTAGGTATTGTGACGAGGCATTGGAACTCATTGATCAATTCAAAGAATTCAACATAGAATATTTTCCAAGGGTATGAACGATCTCTGACTTCGACACTCATAGGTTTTTAAATATTTATTTTTATTTATTTATTTATTCTTTTTTTTGGTCAATGAAATAAACTTTTATTCATCTTCCAAATATGAAATTGTGTGCTACATCAAGAACACCAGCAAAACCTGGCAGTAAACAAGAAGAAAAAATTTACATTCTTTCAAGCTTCTCTTTCATATGAAGAGGAAGTTTTTCATTGAGAACTTTAGAGTAGATGGAGATTTTGATAGTGCGGAATAATTTTTCAGGCTCTCGAACTTTGTGCTGGAAAATTCTCATATTTCTCTCTTGCCAAATCAAATATACTGCTGCCAAGAGGACCATTCTTTTTAATTTTTGCATAAGCCTCATTCCTTTGAGTCTGAAGCTATACCAATTGATAAGTTGATTCCAATCACATGATCTCTAAGAGAAATCCATCCAATTCATCACCTTGTTCCAAACATTTGCTGAAAACTGACATTCAAAGAAGAGGTGCTTGCATGTCTCCAATTGATGATTAGTACACAAAACACATTGGTTTATGTTTAATAATCCCATTCGGCATAATCTATCTTGTGTTAAGAGCCTGGAATGATTTGCTAGCCAAAGAATAAATGAGTGCTTAGGATATTGTAATCCCCTCCAAACTGTGTCGGCCCACACAGTTGAAGGTGCTTCTTGAATTATGACTTTGTATATAGAGCATATTTGAAGCTTTCGACAATTGTAACAACTTGTAATTATTTGTTGAAGATTTCCAGCATCACCAAATTTATTAATCATCATGCCCCTCACCTTAATGAGTTGCTTCCACATCTAAGAATCGTTCACTTTTGATTGAACCTGCCAGATTGTTGAAGTCTGTAAGTAATTGCCATGTATCCATTTAATCCAAAGCAAGTCTTTCTTGAGGTGAATCATCCATAGGAGCTTGGTTGCTGCTGCATAGCTCCAGAATTTAGCTGAGTATAGTCCCAGACCCCCTTTCTTCTTCTCTTGGCAAACAACATTCCAAGATAACAAGTGGATTTTCTGACCCCACAGAAAAGAAGAGCACAAGCTATCAATTTTTTTCGGCACTCTAATTGGTAGAATGTAATTGCTAGTCCAGAAAATTTGAATACCCATGATCACTGATTTAATCAATTGGAGCCTCCCAACATACGTAACTTTCTATTTTTTTACTAGCTATGAAATTGACCAGAAATTTTGCTGATCAGTGGAGAACAATCCATCCACGATAGCCTCTTTGATATTAATGGCATATCCAAGTATCTCATAGGCAAAGAACCCTCTGAAAAATTCAATTATGAGCATAATTGGTGCTTTAAGCTCTCATCAATGTCATTCAAAAAACAGAGCACTTATTTGGATTGGCCTCCAATCATGAAACTTTACTGAAATCTTGAAGACAATTGTGTAATTTTGTTATTGAATTCAAGTCAGCTTTGCTAAAGAGGAGCAAGTCATCAGCGAAGATCAAATGAGTAATCCCTAATCTAGAGCATTTAGGATGGAATTTGAATAATCTATCATCCTTGAGTATGCTTAATCTTCTTGACAAATATTCCATATCAATCACAAACAAATAGGGTGATAAGGGGTCACATTGTCTTAGACCTCTTGCTCCTTTAAAATATCCATGTAAGGATCCATTGAGGGACAGTGAATATTTTGGTGTGGCATTCCATAATCCATTTTATCATTTTACTAGGGAAGCCCAGACCTTCTAGCATGGACTTAAGAAAATCCCAGTTGATTGTATCAAAGGCTTTTCTCAAATCAATATTCAGGATGGCTCTTGGTGAGGTATGTCTTCTACTATAGTGCTTGATGAGTTCATGAGCTAATAGGATGTTGCTTGAGATAAGCCTCCCCTTAACAAAAGCACTTTGAGCCTCACTAATCAAACATCCCATAACTTTCTGAATTTTATTGGCAATAATTTTAGATATGATCTTATAAACCACATTGCAACAGGATATCGGTCTAAAATCAGAAGCTGTGTTTGGATTATGAATTTTAGGTACCAAAGTGATAGTTGTAGCATTGAACGTACCAAGTAATTTTTCAGAATTAAAAAATTCTTCCACAGCCAAAAAAAGATCTTCACTGATGACATCCCATGCTGCCTTGAAGAAAGAGGAATTGTATCCATCAGGGCCAGAGGCTTTATCTTCAGAAATTGAGAACACAGCTTGCCTAATTTCCTCTCTTGTAACTGGAAGACTCAGAGTATTACTTTGATTAGAAGAGAGAATAGGATTTTTGGAGATCACATCAGGATCAAGACTTTGAGTTGTAACTGCAGTACCCAGGAGCTTCTCATAATACCCTGTGAACTCAGAGATTATTCCAGGCATATCGGTAATTCTAGAGCCATTTTCAGAACATAAAGATAACACCCTGCTATGATGCCTTTTTGCCTTCATAGCAGAATGGAAAAACTAAAAATTTTTATCACCATGTAGCCCCCATTTGATGTTAGCTTTCTTGCTGAGGAAGGAAATCTCACAATCTAGTAATTTTGTGTATTTTTGGACATACTCTTTCTCCTGTAAAATCAATTCTGAGTTGAAGAGGTCAAGACTCAATTGTTTCTGAATGGCTAACAGCTCCTCTCTAGCTCTAATCACTTGTTCACTTATATTCATAAAATGTTTCTTATTAAGCTCCTTTAGTGCAGGTTTAAGATTCCTTAATTTTGAGTGGAATTTGTACATGTTATACCCAATAATGCTTTGATCCCAAACTGATTTGACAGCTAGGAGAAATTGAGGATGATTAGCCCACATATTGAAAAATTTGAAAGGCCTTTTTCCCTCAAAAATCTCATCTCCAATAGTTATTAGGGCTGGGGAGTGATCTGAACAGTCTGGCATCAAAAATTCTGCTTAACTAGTTGTATATTGTTGAATCCATTCTTCATTAACCAAGATTCTATCCAATCTGCTCCAAATTCTTGCGCTTGCCTCTTGCTTATTGCACCATGTGAAAAAATAGCCAGTGGACTTTATATGCAATAGCTTACTTGAATTTGTGAAGGTTTGAAAGTCTTCAATATCAGCCTCAGTGACCTGCGCTCCCCAAGCCTCTCTTCATTGTTGATTATTGCATTAAAATCTCGTCCTACTAGCTAGGGGTAATTGATACTTTGTTTGAATGTCAGGAGATTGTGCCAGAGATTTCTCCTACCCTCCATTTGATTGAGGGCATAGACAATAGTAATTAAACTGGAAAACCTTCCATCTTTTGATTCTATTGAGCAAGTGACGTACTGTTCTGAAGAATCAATACACTGAATATTTAGGAGCTCATCATTCCAAAAATTCCAAATTCTACCATTATTTGCTTCATGAATATTAGAGATTCATTTCCAGCCATTTGCAACTTTCCTGGCTATAGACTGCATCTTATCCCCAGACACTTTTGTTTCCAGAAGATCTAGAAATGAAAGTTTATACTCTTGAATAAATCTCTTAACCATCATATGTTTAGAGGATTTGTTAAATCCTCTAACATTCCAAACAACAATATGCATTTTTAACTTAATAGTCCCCCCTATCAATATTAGAGGGGTCTATAACATGTTTTGATGATCCAGGATAGAGAACTGAGATGCTTGAAATGAGGGACCTGATATCCTTGCATTTGCTCTCCTAGCTACATTAGCTCTATTTACACTTGTGAAACCTGAGACATTTATAGTGGGAGAAGAGAACTGATAACTAGGTACATTGCAGCTGATATCTTGTGTATATTTTTCAGGTACCAGTGTATCTGTTCTAAAGTGCCCAGATTTCTCCCCAGAAATTTGAACACCCAAACTACCCTGCCCAGATTTGTTTCTGCTCATATTTTCACTTTGTTGTTGTTGTGCATGTTTCTGTGCATGTCCAGGCTGCGAATCCATTCCAGTTTTACTAGGAACTATCTCCTTTTCTCTTCTCTATGCAAATTCATCTTGTGCAACATTTTCAACCTGCTCAATTCCTTTTCCAACGTCACTCAGTTGTTTATCTTGTATAGGCCCTAGTTTTAGCTGTCTGCGAACAGGAACCCACATTTTCCTGGTATATCTTCTACATTGATCTGTCTCATGTCCTACTATGTTACATAAAGAGCACCATCTAGGCTTGAATTCATATGTAACACTCTGATTATAACATTTGCCATCAGGATCCTGTATAACAAGATGATCAGGTAAAGGTTCTTTTAGAGGTAATTTCACTTCTAACAACACCCTAGCATAGCTTAATCTTTTCCTTGTTGTTGTGAGGTTATCGGTGGTAATTGGGCATCCAATTAAGCTAGCAATCTTACTAATTCCAGTAGAGATCCACAAATTCAGTCGTAAATTGGGAAATTGCATTCACATAGGGTAACTAAAATCCTGCACTTTCTCCATATCCATGTCAATAGCCCATGGTTTAAGTACCAGTGGCCTTGAACCAAAGAACCAAAGAACCAGGGACCTGCCTCCAAGAAATCAAATAGGAAAACTCCTTGCTTAATCAATGAAACTTACGGAATTAAAATTTTACCCCATAGCTTGAAAACATAAGATTCCGTAGATTTAAATTTGGCATTCAATCCAATCACATGACCTATCAAAGCATGTGTCCAGAGTCCTTCTCCTTCTTTCCATTCATCCGCAGAGAATGCAACAGTGTTAGCTTGAGAAGAAGGGATAAAATTTGAGGACAAGCACTTTCCAGCTTTCCTATTATCAGCAAAAAGACTGACATAAGATTTTCTCATAGCAGGTTGATTGTTTTCAATCTCAGGATTTGATTCTTCATTATTGAACTGATTATTTTCAACATTCACGCACTTCATACCAGAATTTGATTTTCTATTAATAGCTTCTTCTAGATCTGGATTTTCAACATGAATATTAGATTTTTCTTTTATAGCTTCTTCTTCAGGATTATTACCAGATTCCACATTTTCATTGATTGTTTGAGCTTTTGAAAGAGTAAATATCTCCGTATTTTCTTCATCCAGATAGGCATTTTCAATCAAGTCAGATTCAGTGCAATCATCTACATCATCAGCCCACGAATGTGATAGAGGAGAATTACTTAACTGACGGATGATCCTAAGACCAGATCTCTCCTGTAGTTGAGGTGGATCTGATAAATGATCAAATCTTGCTAGGACTTCACTCAACTACAGCTTCTTCTTCGCTCCTTTTGGACCGGTGCTCTCCATGATTCCAGAGATCAAGGACACTGTTCCATCGGATTCACCTCCAGAATTGGACGAAGAGGGAAAAACGAACATCGAATCCCTCATCTCACTGCTTGACACTCTCTTGCCGCTGCTCTTCTTCTTCTTCTTCCTCATTTGAAACTAGGTGGAGGTGCACGTTAGCAAGGAGAAAATCACCTGCTAAAATGCACCATCAGACAGCCCACCCCTTTGATACTATTTATTTATTTGTTCTTTTGGGGTGCTCTTGCTTACGTTCACAGAAACAGAAGTCTTCTGTTCAAAATTTTTAATTTTCTGTTGACAATGCATTGAAAGTAATGACTTCGCCTCTTTAATTTTCTCACTCCTAAGAAAACTACTGGAAATCAAGATTAGATTACATACTACTTGATTAATAACTTTGAAAAGTAATTGGTCTTCTTTCGCCTCTAGGATCAAAATACCGATGCTGATAGGGAAGCTAACCGAGCTGCTGACCTTCCTGGTAAGTGACCAACCAAGTCTACTGCATTTCCACTTGATTAACATCTGGTGCATTTCTACTTCCTTTTGATCCAAGAAACCATGCTTACATAATTTTTATGGCAGAGGGTCGAATCTACTGGGAGTATAACTGGCACTACTGAAGATTTTAGTAGTTCAAATGCTCTCCTTATTGCTAATTAGTATAGATCTTAATTTGTAAATAACTGGTGTCTAGTTTGAATTGTGTGAACTCCTTACTGCTAATTAGTTTAGATCTTTGTAAATAACTGATGTCTAGTTTGGATTGTGTGAACTGTTTACTACTGCTAATCTAAAGGAGTTTTGTGGTTTTTATTTTGCGGAGATCTGCATTGATTTTTTTTCTTCCTTTTTCGCCAACAGAGAGATGTTTGAGGAGTTATTTGAAAGTTTTGTGATACATGAATGTTTCTGCTTGTGATATGGTAGTGGTAGAAGTTGCTTTTCCCTTCTTTCTGCGTTTCATGTGAAAATGCTATAGTAAATGAAAAAAAAAAATCAGTGCATTCTGTTGATATGTTTGCTATATAGTATGTCCTTGTAACATATTTTGTGTATGCATCTAAAATGGAATGCGAGACTGCTTCCTGCATCTCAAAGAAAGCCTCCTACGTTCTAAAAATTATTCCAAACCATTATTTCTTAGTACAATGTTTCTTACTATCAGAAAAAACATTCACAGCCTCAAATTACCACGATTCATTACTCTCTTTATTGTGTTGGGAGGTTTCAATATGACTTCCATAGTCTTGGATTCGATTCCTGCAAATTCTCATTACAAAAAGTTTTTTTCAATATTAGCCCATTAAAATTATTAATATCTGGAAACTTGTGCTTCAAATCATTATTATTGCTATTGGATCCCTCAATTTCTGTATCTTACTATTCCTACCTCGATTGTAGGGATTAATTTGTAATTGGGAATCTAATATCAATTTCAATAATTTGAAGGACTGATTTTGAGAAAACTTGTCATCTTACAAGAAGTGGTGGGTTTACTAGCAATTTCAAATGATTTGAAGAACTAATTTCAAAATATAAAAACTGCGAGGGCTTATATCGAAAATACCCTAATTGGGACAACTGATTATTTGGCATCAGTGCCTCATATCTCTAATAATTTCATATTAGTCCCTCAAATCTTAATAATTGATCTAGCCCCTCAAATCGTATGGGGTCTGGCAATTTGGTCCCTCAGTAACCAAAATACCCCTTAGTTATGATTTAAAGAAAAGTTATTTCCGCTTTGGTATTTTAAAGTTTACACCTTTGTAACTTTAACGCCCTGAAGTTTTTCGATACTTTGATGCTCTAAAGTTTACGAACTTTTTTTTATCTTTCATACCTTAAAGCTTTATCTAACACCTTTGTTACTATAAAATTTAATTATATCTTTTTCACTTTGACATCCCAAAGTTTTCTTTTTGATACTTTGATACGCCAAACTTTATGATATCAAAGTTAAAAATATGTAAAAAGTGAGGTATCAAGGTTAAAAAATATGGAATCTTGGAGTAAAAAATGTATAAACTTTGAGTATCAAAGTGTCAAAATAATATGGGGTTTTGAAGTTAAAAAAGATGTAAACCTTAGGGTATCAAAGTGTCAAAAAAACGTTGAATATCAAAGTTCAAAAAGTATAAATTTTAGAGTGTCAAATTGCAAATAACCCTTCAAAAAAATATTATGTAAGGGGTTATGGTCAATGAGGGACCAAATTGCAATAACACAAGGATTTGAGTGACTAATGAGCTAATTGTTGACATTCGAGGGGCTAATATGGAATTACTGAAGATATGAGGGGCTAATTCTAAATAACCCTATTGTTTAGGACAAATTTTCAAAATAGACCCCTTTAGAAATATATTTTTAAAAACGACCCCTTTTAAAAATGTTTATTATTTTCGACCCAGTTTCAGCCACCTGACAAAAACTTGGTCGAAAGTGGCGAAAAAACATCAAAAACTTCACAGAATTTTAAATCCCCTGAAGTTTAAGGTCTCATTTACGGCATCATTAGCACTAACGAGGCCTTAAACTTCACGGGATTCAGTGAAGTTTTTGATGTTTTTTCGTCATTTTCGACCTGGATGAACCTTGGTAGAAAATGGCAAATATTTTTAAAAGGGGTCGTTTTATGAAAATAAGTTTTGAAAGGGTTCTATTTTGAAAATTTCTCCTCCTGTTTATTTAAACTACACTCGTTTCCGTTTCCTTGCTTTCCGAGTCACGCCCTTGTCTCTCTCTCCCGCTCGTCCCTCTCACTCCCTCTCTCTCTCGCTAGGGTTTCTCTTGTTCGAAAAAAATGCGATCATATCGATAACAATAATGTAGTTTTGGATGCGCATCAGGTGATGGTCCTGATCATTTCTTCTTTTTTTCTTTTTTTCTTTTTTTTTTTTTGGGGGGGGGGGGGGGGGGGGGGGGATTAAAATTTTATCTTTTTATTCTTTTTTTTGTGCTGAATTTGATCACATTTTGGCTATGCGCGGCAACGGAATTAGGTTTCGGTTAATCTCCATGGATTTAGTTGCGTGTAAGAGATCTTTGAGACCCGAACTCGAATTCTTGTTTGCATGAGTGACAAAATTTGGCAAAATCTTGTTTCGTTGCACGTGGTCTTTCTTGAAAATTTTATTGTTGCAAAAACCTTTTTTTTTCTCAAATTGATTACAATCAGCGCGATTTTCGCGAATCGCGTTTAACCCATCTACCCAACGCCGAAACCCCAATTAAATTCGTAGTTTACTTGAAAAATGCAAAAAGTAGAGACGAGGAAGAAACTGGGGGGGAGATGAACAAGAGTAGAATGAAGATAATAGAATCTTTGCCCCAAAAACCTATCAATGTGCTAAATAATAGATAGGTTATGCAAAAAGTTTTTTTTCCCCCTTCACTTAAACTTTATAGATGTAAGTGACTAAAGAGTAAACTATATTTTTAGCTTCCATTAGACATTGTTAGGTAGTCATCTATAAGTGTAAAGTTTGTAGTTAAAGTTAATGACAGATTTTTGAAGACAACCTAATATTTGTGGCACTTTCTTGAAAATTTGTTTATTCATTTATCTTTCTTTTGGATTGATGGTTGTTTTCTTCTTTTAAACTGGCAAGGTCTACCTTGAGTTTGATGGTGCTTCAAGAGGAAATCCTGGAAGAGCTGGTGCAATAGCAGCGCTTAAGTCTAAAGATGGAGCTGTGGTAGTTAATCAACGTAATACCTGTCTTCTTTTTCTATTAATGGTTTTTTTTTATCGAGTTTACATCTGTAACACTGATATCCATTATATATAGGACAAAATAACCAAATCCCCCTTAAAGTATTGATCAAGTCTCAATTTGCCCTCTAAAGTATCAATTTACCTATTTCCCCCTTAAACTATGTGTATGAGTCCAATGTAGTCATTTGGCTGTAGTAAAATATTTAACAGATCGATGATCCAACAATATCTTTTTTTTTTTTGCATTTCTTGTATTTATTGCAGTTCAAAAAATGATTTTCCAATTCCAAAAGAAGAGATAAAGTGTATAAAAATTTCAGTTAGTTGAAATTTTTTTGCTGGTTTGAGGAAAGGAGATAGACAGATAAAAACCCATGAAGAAATACTAAAAACAATATCACATCATCAATTTGTTAGATATTTGACCGTGGGCTCACTAACCAAGGTTTTAAATATCGGATATTGAGAATATATTGGATGGCCAAAATTCATATCGGATTGCGGATATCGGGGATATGCGATAAATTTCGGAATGTCATAACGAATGTTTGCATATATACGATAATGCACTAAAATGTAATCTCAACATACTTAATGAAATCTAAGCATATAAAATGTAAATAATATATGGTTTAGGATCACTAATCAACCTTATAAAACAAACAAAAATACAAATCAACGTTGCAACATTTTGTTTGATTTTTTCAGGATAAAATGCCATTTGATGTAATGGGAAACTCATGATATTGCGCCCAAAAATTGCCAAACGTGGTAGATTATTTTGCAACAAGTCATATAAAAGGATATATTTGTTAACATATAGGCTGATATATCGGCCATATCGGGGGTATATAGCCCAAAATAGCTAAAGCAGTAATAGATATTTAGAGACCATATCGCTTGCGGCAAGCCTTGTAAAAGGATTTATCGGGTGATATATTGGGCAATGTAGGGAATATTTAAAACAATGTTGCTAACTGACCACATTGAGCACATAAACATAGTTAAGGAGAGGGGGGGGGTAAGTAAATTCATACTTAAAGGAGCAAGTTGAGAGTACATCAATACTTTGAGAGGGAGTTTATCATTTTGTCCTCATATATAATAAATCTATGTGTCTATTTTCAATTGGGATGAAGATTACTCGAGTATTTGAAGGTTTGGGCATAGGTATGGACAACAATGCTCAATACAGAGCACTAATCAGAGGATTGAAGACTGCTCTTAATATGGGCTATGACGGGACCTGTGTGAGGGGGCACTTGAAACTTGTCTGTAAGCAGGTCTGTCCTTTTTCTGTTTGTTTCATGTGAATCATGAACTCTTATCTTTTTTTCTTTGTATTGTATGTTCTAAGTTTGCCACAAGTTTTAGATTTCTTATATAAACCATGATAAATGATGCTTTGTCTTATTTTCTTTTTGGCTTCATTTGGCAACAGAGTAAGAAATAATGAGATTAAGTGGATTAGTTAATCCTTGGTCTTATTCTTTAGCTTAACCATTTAAACAAACTGTTTATTTCAAATTTTTATTTAGACGCAGGACAGAATAAATTGGATATTTATTCAATCTGTTGTTTGACAACAACTAGAACAAGTCAAGTGATCGAAAAACATATTGTAAATACCTAAACATAATATTTACTTTGCCATCCATTTTTGATCTTACTGCCTCAGTTAACTGGGTTATCCTCAGCAAATAAAAGATTATGCAGAGCAATGAACTAAAATAAGTAGATCAATACTTCTTGTTAATCCATCTGATCATTATTGTATTTGGAAGGAAGAAAATCATTTCATTTACTCTGGTTTATTCAGAGGAAGGATAATCTAGTTTGGTTTTTTATTAATCAAATTATAGTTTATGATCCTAATTGAAAAATATTTACAGGCTAAACAAATAAGAAACAAAGAACAATCTTAGAGGGGTTGCGCAATATGATTGAACCTTTATCAGCAAAAGTTATTAGCTGGGACATAATTTACCCTGATAATTGCATTTATCAAAACCTTAATCATGTAGCTTTCAACCCCCTCTTGTTTTCATAGAGAATTCTCTCGTGCTATCTTTAGGGTAATGTGTTATAGAAATCATTCCAGATGTCCTATTTAGTTGTCCTATATGGCCGGGAACTCTCTCTCTATTTTATTGGCTAAACTTTTTTTTTTTTTTTTGCCCCTGATGCCTGGATTCTAGCTTGTGAAACCAGGAATATTTGTTAATAGTTCATTTATTTAGGGGCTCTTTTTTTATGTATGCACCTTCATCCCTCTCTCTGTGCACTTGAAAGCACACATTTGTGTGTTTCTGCATATGTGTGTGTGTGTCTTTTGTATATACGTGTTCTTGTGTGCATAAAATTCATTGCCTAAGCACTTTGAACTCTAATACAGGTAAATGGTGAGGAGCACATTAGAAGCAATAGATTGGCCAGGTATTGTGATGAAACAAGGCAACTCAGTGATCAATTCAAATAATTCAGCATGAGATATTGTCCAAGGTTATGAACAGTGGCTGCCTCTACATTCATAGTTTTTTTGGGTGCTCTTGCTTATGTTAACAGCAACAGAATTTTGAACTTTTAAGTTTTCTCTTGGTAATGCGTTGAAAATAATTAGTTTTCCTCTTTAATTTCCTCACTACTAGAAAACTACTGGAAACCATAAATTGTCTATAATTTTTTATTATAACTTTTGTTGCTAGTATCTAAAAGTACTTGATCTTCTTTTTCCTCTAGAGTCAAAATACTGATGCTGATGCCGCTATTGTTTTGAATGACCCTCTTGATGCTGCAAGTAAACAGCTCTCATTCTTGCATTTTGAATTTTTTTTCGTGTTTAATTTGAGTCAGGCATCGGGTTTTTTTGTCGTACAAGCTGTGAGTTAAACTAATATCATATTTTTCTAATGGAAGCAGGTTTTTTTGCTTGGGGTTTTCGTAAACAACAAAACAATAGGTATATGTTTTTGTTGATGAAAATGACTAAAACTCTAAATGTGTCCGAACAATTTGGAGAATTTTATGCTCTTGGCATCATTTCTATCACCAAGGAAATCATTTGGGATAAAGGCTTTATTGTTGTCGTTGTAGAAAGATATCCAAACCAAAACAAATCTCATTTCTCTTGTTGCATCTGTAGATATAAATGAAACCATGAATGAAGTTACACCTTAATGGGTGAATAATATTCTAGGTGCAAAAAAGGGTAAATAAGCATCCTTGTATTTTGACTGGTATGAATCTGAACTAGTTACTCATGTTGAGAATATACGCTAACACAAAACTTAAATAAGGTCCTTAGATACATTATAACTTATACATCATCTTCATTGAACACAAAGTCTAAGATTTACGTTACGTTATCAGTTCATCATGGTCTTCGTTGAAAACGCAGTCTGAAGAAAGTCCTTCACAGCTTTTACCGAAGACCCAGCATTGCCCTCATCCTCTCTCAATGCTCTCCTCATCATCTCCTTAATCTCATTTGCTTTGACCCTCATCTCAAACCCCTTGTTTGTTCCTCCCATCACCAGCTCAATCGCCTTTGCAACTTCTTCCCATCCCCTCTTCATTCCTCTTGCAATCTCAACACAGACTCCCACCTCTTCCAACATCTTAGAGTTGAACATTTGATCCCCTATAATTGGCCACCCAATAATTGGCACACCCTGACTTAAACTCTCAACCACTGAATTCCAACCGCAATGACTCAAAAATGCAACGGTTGATTCATTCGATAGAATCTCAAGCTGGGGAGCCCACTTATGGACCAAGATCCCTTGATTCCTCTCCTTCATTCGTTCTTCGAACTCTCCAGGTAACCATTCAGGTCTCCATTCTTCATTCATGGCAAATTCTAGTGGAGGTCTGATGACCCAAATGAAGCTTTTTCCACTGGCCTCTAATCCCTTTGCCAGCTGCATCATTTGAGATGCTGGGATAGAGTTCTGAGAGCCAAAAGATATGTAAAGAACTGAAGCTGGGGTCCTTGAGTTCAACCACTTAATGCAGTAATTACTATCATGAACCGGTGATGAGGAAGGTAGGCAAGCAAGAGGTCCAACACACCAAACAGGAAGTTGAGAGCTTCTTCGTAGTAAACTCAATCCCTCTGTCTCAAACTCCTCAACAGTGTTAACAAGAAAGCTGCTTGATTTGAAGCTAAGAGACAGCTGCCTTTGCAAAAAAATAGCAAATGGGTCTGTGCCATTAGTAGGTATGACGGTGTTCAAGATCATTGATTGGGGAATGCTAATCTCGGGGAAGTCCACAAGTGCAAGCTCATCCTCTTCAGAGGAAGCGAAATTTTCAGGAGGATTCAACCAGAGAGAGAAGAAGATGGCAGAGGCATAAGCTCCACTAGTAACAAACACTGAATGAGAAACTCCAAGTCTGTTGGCACCCTCAACTGTCCACCCTAAGAACATATCAGCAATGATGCAGAGATTACTGCAACCGTGTTTATCTATAAGTTCTGATATGAGATTCTCAAAGGAGGTTTTGAGAGTCTCGGTGGCAGTGAAGAAGTTGAGGTAGAGATGGAGAGGGAGAGATTCGGTTGTCTCGATGTTAGGAGGGAGACCATGATCTGAGCTTGAGAAAGGGAGCTCCCTGAGTTCGACTAAGGAGTTTGGAGGGAGTTTTGCTCTTAGCTTCTGGATGTTGAGGGGGGTGTTGATGAGGGTGATACTAAAAGTTGAGTGCCTTTGTGATATTAGTTTGGCAAAGGATAGGAAAGGTATGAGATGGCCTTGTGCCAAGAAGGGGAAGAGAACTATGCGCTTGTTTGCCATGGGAGAGAGAGAGAGTTATGAGCTTGGGTGAAAGAGGTGAAGGGTGAAGCTATATATTTTACGTTATCAGCAATGATAGGTAGATACTTGTCTGTTTTTTTGTGCTAGAATTTTTAGCAGTGACAGTTATAATAAGGTTAGGGCCGGCATTGTTTACTTTGTAACGTTTCTTGGTCAGTTTTATGCTTTTTTTTTTCAAGCCTTAATTAGTTTTAATCGGTCTTATCTAGTATTAATTAGTGCTAATTACCTTGGAGAAACAGGTTTTTGCAGGACGTTGTGTATGTAATATTATAAGATTCAGTCTTATGTTTTATCTTTTATTGTACACACTTGCAAAATAATTGGATATATTCCATTTGTTTGGGTTTTTTCCCTCTTTTGGAAAATTTTGGCAACTTTTGGAAAGAGGGAAAAGACCGGTCCATGCTTCTAACACAATTTCTTTAATATATTTTAGGTAACCTAAAGTGGACCGGAGTCTACTTAGTTTGAAGAGATTGAAAATGACCTTGGAAGTGCTCTCGAGTTGGAAGAAGAGGAAGGTAATCCCAGTTTCTAGTAGCTCCTCTTTGTATGCAATTCTTGCTTTGTTGAATATTTCTCTCTTCAAGTAGTAGTTAAACATTTCCCTTTAATGTGTTTCGCCTCTTTTGAGATCATAGAAGACATCGTTGCAAACACTCTATGAATGTAGAGATATCATAGTCTGGATATACATACATACATATACATACACACATACATATATATATATATATATATATATATGTTTTAAGAGTTTTTTTCATTGATAGAATGATTTGGCTTATATAGCCTTACACCCACATTTACATAAAACTCCCTCTAATATTCCTTAATCGCATTCTATTTTCAACACTCCTCCTCAAGATGAGCGAAAGATATCTATTAAGCCCATCTTGTCACACCCTCTAGCTAGATCTACTGAGCTAAGTTCTTTAGTCAAGCAGTCTGCAGTCTGCTCCTTAGTTGGAACATGACCTAACTCCAGTAACTCATTGTTCAGCTTCTCCTTGATGAAGAATCTATCTATCTCGATGTGCTTAGTTCTGTCATGCTGAACTGGATTGTTAGCGATGCTGATAGCTGACTTGTTGTCACACCACAAACTCATCTTAGTCTCTTGGTCAAGGTTCAGCTCCACCAGTATGTTCTTTAGCCACATCAACTCCGCCACCCCCAAGACCATGGCTCTGTACTCTGCTTCAGCTGTTGATCTCGCCATCATAGATTGCTTCTTGCTTTTCCAGGAGACTAAGTTGCCTCCCATAAATATGCAATACCCTGAGGTGGATCTTCGATCATCTCCGCAGCTAGCCCAATCTGAGTCACAGTAGCCCTCAATGTTCACATGGCCACTCCTCCTGAATCTTAGTCCTTTGTCAGGGGCACCCTTTAGATACCTCAGTATCTGATATACTGCATCCATATGGCCCTTCCTTGGGTCATGCATGTAGCGGCTCACCACGCTTACCGCAAATGAGATGTCTAGACGTGTGTGACTCAGGTAGATTAGCCTACCCATCAATCTCTGATATCTCTCACGATCAACAGTTTCTCCTGCGTCAGCACTCAGCCTGAAACTCTGATCAATCGGTGTAGCAGCAGGTTTGCACCCCAACATCCCCGTCTCTGCAAGAAGATCTAGTGCATACTTCCTCTGGGAGAGAACAATCCCCTTAGGTCCATGAGCTATCTCTATCCCAAGGAAGTATCAAAGCTGACCAAGATCTTTCACTTCGAATTCTTTGCTCAATCTTACCTTGAGCTGAGCGATCTCCTTCTCATCATCTCCCGTGATAATCATGTCATCCATATACACTGCCAGCATAGTGATGTGACCCCTACTTCTTCTGAAGAATACAGTATGGTCGGCATTGATCTGTCTGTATCCCATATCAACCATGGCTCTCCTAAACCTGTCAAACCATGCTCGAGCGGACTGCTTCAGTTCATACAGAGACTTCTTCAGCCTGCAGACCTTACATACTGTCTGACCTGTGCCACATCCAGGTGGTATTTCCATATACACCTCTTCCACTAGATCTCCATGAAGAAGCGCATTCTTCACATCCAATTGGTGTAGTTGCCATCCACCATTTGTTGCCAGAGAAATCAGCGTCCGAACAGTACTCATTTTCGCCACTGGTGTAAAAGTCTCATCGTAGTCAATGCCGTATGTCTGGCTGTACCCTTTTGCCACCAGTCGTGTCTTATATCGTTCAACCTTCCCTTCTGGGTTCTGTTTCACAGTAAACACCCACTTGCATCCCACTGCTCTTTTCCCTGCTGGCAGTGTCGCTAACTCCCACGTGTGGTTCTTCTCAAGAGCCCCCAGCTCCTCATGCATAGCAGCCTTTTACTTTGGGTCCTTCTTAGCATCCTGCCAGTTGTTAGGTATAATAACAGAATCTAATGATGCAATGAATGCTCCGTGTGAAGGGGATATGTGAGAGTAGGAAACAAATTGATCTAGATCCCAACCATATCTCTTAGGAGGATTTCCCGCATTACTACGAGTAGTCCTCTTTTCTGACATTGATGTAGGGAGAGGTGCAGGAGTAGGAATGGTATTACCTAGAGTGAAGGGTGGTATAGGTGTCTCAGGAGTTGGAGCAGAGCTGGACAAGGGACTAGACACTGGCACTGTTACTATAGGTATCTCTGGCTCCTTCCCCCTCCTACTGTATGTAAGCAACTCCCCCTGAGCTGTAGGCCTAACACCCCCTGAGCTGTAGGCCTAACACCCCTCCTACTGTATGTAAGCAACTCCCCCTGAGCTGTAGGCCTAACACCCCTTGTCTCCTCCTCCCCTTCGTCTTCATCATTCTTCTCTTCTGAGTACGGGATCGAAATTAGGATTGACCCCCTTGAGCTCTCACCATTCTCCCTCTCTTGCCCTATACCTCCAGTATCGGGCAAGTCTCCAAAAGGTGAAGTAACCCCTACTGTGTAGTACGGCTCGAGCTCTCAAAACCGCACATCCATGCTGACAAACAGCCTTTTTTCCACCGGGCTCCAACAGACATACCCTTTCTGGGTGCCATTGTAGCCCACGAATATACACTTCACAGCCCTAGGGTCTAGCTTCCCAACCGATGGTCTGTTGTCCTTCACAAAGCACACACAGCCAAATACCTTCAATGATAGGGCCCTCCCGTTATCTTCCTTTAGTGTCTCACGAGGAAACTTCCACTCCAACACACTCGAAGACATCCGATTGATTAAGTATGCAGCAGTCAAGACTGCTTGTCCCCACAACACCTTTGGAACATTCATCGCCATCATTATATTCCTAGCAACTTTTAGGAGATGTCTGTTCTTCCTCTCTGCTACCCCATTCTGAGCTGGAGTGTATGGGCATGTAGTTTGGTGTAGAATCCCCTGAGCTGACAGATACTCCCTAAGTATTCTGTTGGTATACTCTGTTCTATTATCCGACCTCAACACTTTTACTGCTGCACAATACTGAGTCTGGATGTGCTTATGAAAATCTTTGAAACAGCCAACTACATCACTTTTGTTTTTCATAAGATACACCCAAGTGACTCTAGAGAAGCAATCAATAAATGTTACAAAAAACTTACATCCATTTGTAGAATTTACTGGGCAGGGTCTCCATACATTAGAATGTATTACTTCAAACTTACAAGAACCCCTACTATCCGAACTAACATAAGAGTTTCTAGTCAGCTTTCCAAACTCACAAGCATCACACTGCAACTTCTGTTTATTTACTTTTCCAAACAGAATTGGATACATTTTACCCAAAATGCCAAATGACGGATGTCCCATTCGCTGATGGTAAAGCATCAACTCATCTTCTGCGCAGACTTTAGCTCCTCATGTTCCCGTCCTTTCCACCACAGAAGTCAGCGCTGAGTCCATCCCTTCGCGGTCCAAGTACCACAGCCCACTACGCCATGTCTCAGTCCCAAGTCTTCGCCCTGTTCCTTTCTCCTGAAAAATTATCTTAGAAATGTCAAAAGAAACAATACAATTTAGTTGGAGGATAATGACACTAATGGATAATAGGCTAACATGAAATGAAGGAGCATACAGAACATTAGATAAAGTTATAGAACCTGTACAACTAACAGTTCCCTTATCAACCACATCCTGTGCTGTACCATCAGCAATCTGGATACTCTCTGCTTATGCTAAGTGAGTGTAAGATAAGAACTCACTGGCATTGCCTGTCACATGTCTGGATGCTCCAGAATCCATTATTCAGGCGGTGGGTCTTCCCTCGTTTGGGTGTGCACGAAGGGCATAATTGGCATAGTCCCCTCCGGAGAAAGTAGTAGATGACCCCTCAGACACATCACCTACTGCTCTCTGCTTCTTCCTCAGTGTTGCCAAGAGTACCCGATCCTCATCAGTGAAGATCATCTCAGCTTCTTCTTCCCTTTCTGCCACTGTCAAGTTTGCCCGGTGGCCTCTTCCACCTCGTCTGCCTCCACGGCCACGACCTCCAGCCTGACCACGTTCACCCCAGTTCCTCTCCCTGTGTGGCTTATGACACATCTATCTCAGATGCCCTACCTCTCCGTAGTTGAAGCACTGCCTAGTCTCCCCTCTGAATCCAGTGTTATCCGGATTGGATACCACCAGTGCAGACTTCTCTCTTGTAAGTCCACCTATCCCAACCTGTAGCCTGATACAGCTCTCCTCCTGTGTCACGGTCGAGACTGCCTCCTCCAATGGTGGGATCTTCGTCTGGGTTAGTAGCAACGCCGTCCTCTGCTCATACGCTGGAGCCAAACCTCGGAGAAATAACATGGTCCTCTTCTCTAAAGAGGCCTCGCGCTCCTTGCACTCCGAGTCCTTGCAGCTCGCTAGGGGCAAGAAGTGATCGTGATCGAGCCACAAGCGCTCCAGTTCTGTGGCGTACTCTTGTACAATCCTCTCACCCTGGACTAAAGCGCTGATTTCCTTCTCGATCTGGAATACCCTCAGGTTATTCCTCACCCTGTCATAGGTCCTCCTTAGCTTCTCTCAGACATCCTGTACCCTTCCAAGGCCATCCACTGTGGCAGCAATTAGCTGGACTACAGAATTCAGAAGCCAGATGTACACCAACATGTGAGTGGATTTTCACTCATCTCTTTCTGCGGAGCCCGCAGCCGGCTCAATCTTCTCCCCTGTGA